AGCAAGCTAAGATCTTCAAGTGTGAGAGGCTCTGCTGTGAACAGTGGCTTCTCGTTGGGCCCAGGCACAAACACATCCTGAGGACACAAATCAACAATGTGACTTTGAATTCTAATTTTGTTTTGCCTTCAAATGCAGACATAAGGAGGGAAAAAAAGAGAAACTCACAAATGATGGTGGCACCTGCTTGAGCTGATCATCTGTCTGCATAGGTGCGATATCGCTTCCAGAGTCCTCCTGGATTGACTCTTCTGGGGACTTGGACTCTGCCAGACTCTCCTTGTCTGTATCCATAGGCTTCAGGTCCTCAGCCATCTTGTCGGCTAAGATAGGACCAACGTGCTTCTCCTCTGGGTCAGCTTCTGCTTCGGGCTCTGGCTCATCTAACTTCTCAACTACCATCTCCATGGGCTCCTCATCTGAATCCTTCTTTTCCACCTCCACCTGCACAGAATCAAAGTATGTTTAGAAACATTAAAAGATGTTCTCCTTTCCAGTAAGCAAATGTAAGCATTGTATCAAACCACACAAAAGAAACTCTGAGAAGACAGAGGGATTGAGGGTTGTTCACACTGGCAGTCACGCAATCATTACTTAGCTGTTCAGTTAATCAAGGGCCTGATTAGGAATTTTTACTGTGTAAATAACAATATGTACCTATTAACAGAGAATTTTATGTATTTATTTAAAGAAGCATGCACTACTCATCTGGGTGATTCAATTGCAACTGTCTCTGTTAGTAATAATAAACCTTACCTCCTCTACCTCCTGTGGTCTTTTTGCCAAAGGGTGTGAAAGTGGATCCAGGCAGAGAGGAGGCATCGCTGGAGACATGATGGGCTGCTGGAACACAGTCGTGACTGTTGTGGAGGAGCAAAGAGAGGGGGCAGCCATGGATGATACATCTATGGCTGTGCTTTTGGCACCACTCTGAGGCACCTGTCGGCCTGAAAGAGTAGAGTCTCACTGCATTGTATTCTTCAGTCTGAATATTTAAAGTGTATTCCAAGTGACATTCTTACAAAAACCTTTAAAGTATGATATAATATATGGATTGCTCTTACTGTTGTATTGGTGAGGCACACCAAATTCTCCGAGCCATTCTGTGAGAGCCAGTTTCAGTGCAAGCTGTGGGCTGTACAGCATGTCTGTTTCCAGTTCTTCATCGCTGCCCTCATTCTCCAGCTTGATCTGGATGGACACAGTGCTGTCCTCGCCGTCGGCTGGAAAAGGGTAAGATGAAGACACAAATGCAGAAAGTCACATTAATAAATGACACGTACTACACTACAACATAACCTCATGCAGAAAGATGACATGGTATCCACGTCAGTACATTACAAATTGATATACTTTAGGATGACACTTACTCATAACGACATCCTTGCGCACCCCATTCATGTTTGACTTGTACCAGGTAGCTAGAGTGTGGATCGCTACAAAATTGGATTCAAACTCGCAGTTAGGATTGGTGAGGACTCCCTTCAGTCTGGGGATGAGCTCTGTGGAGCGGCCCTTGTATGGACCCAGGAAAAGCCTCTTCTGGTCATAATCATTGGCATGAATGTTGTCCCAGATTACAGGGGCTCTTCTCAGGATTTTTGACACCTCCTCAATAGACTCCACTGTGATGTCTTTTGACACCACTTTTGGTCCTGCATAACAGACAACATATCCTAATTAACTGTTTTGTCTGACATACAATGACTACCACCGTATCACCAGTATTGGTTTGGTTTTTTGCCAGGATAATGTTTGACTTGCCTGTCCATAGGACTTCAATGCCCGGCAGTAGTTTCTCTCCTACTGTGTGGAGGTAGGGTGACTGAGAGACACTTGGGTAGCAGAATGTTCCACAATACTCTGTGTTGCAAAGCAAAACAGAAAAGAAATAATGAATAAATATGTAGAGCAAACAAGTTTATAAAATGTGCAAAGAATTTAGATATACAATTAAAGGTACCTGTGGGGCAGAATAGGAAAGTTTCGGGCTCTCCCAGGTACTGGTAGATTTCGTTGGTAATAGAAACCTGAGCGTGCGCGAATGAGCTGAACACTTCTTTGTCAGCAGGGCACATGTTGTGGTCAATATCGTCAAAAAGTAAGGCAAATGATTTGCAGCCAAAGTGAGAAACCTGAAGGGGTAAAGATGGGAGGTGGACATTAAATCCAACAAAATGATCAAAACCAGAAATGGTGCATGCTGCATGATACTCTGTAAGGCATACATCAAGGGTTTTAACACAGTATTCACTCTGCCATTTCACAAAATGTTGCAATACCTGATCAAGTTTCCTCTTGAGTGCAGAAACCTCTTTCTGATTAGAGAAGGTGATGTCCAATCCAGGGGAAATGGCATAGATAAACTCTATGCCATGCTCCTTGGCAGCACCAATTAAAGTCATGAGTTGCTCTGAAAGATAGTTGGGGGAAAATCAATCACTTAATAACACATTCTTGTGATTTTAGAAAAACTCCTTTGAAATATACAATTTGCCCTTTAGCTTAGATAACAAGAATCATGCATTTCATCCATTCTGAGTAGGCACCTGCTTCTTCCACTGAATACAGCTCTCTCCAGAACATTCTGTGCTTGTAGTCATCCTTTGGTGCATAAAGGTAAGTATTCAGTCCCCATTTCTGCTGCCTGTGAAAATCAAAGTTGAGGAAAGTTTAAAAAAAATAAAATAAAAATTCAACCATCCTGCTTTTATGTTGTGTGTGTATGCATGCATAAATACTGTATATTACCTTCTGAATAGTTCTTTCCTCTGTTCCATTGTCCATGGTCGACCATAAAAGCCTGCATGAGCAAACAATGCATTCAGTTTCCATGCAGTCTGCAGTGCCGATGATCTACATTTAATGAGCATACTGAGCTGCCACTGTCAACCTGCCCCCTGGTGTGGGCCGAGCTTAGACATGCAATTTGAGCTTGTATCGACTGATACTATTTTCTGTACTAACCAGCTAATGATTTTGTCGACAAATCGCCATCTGAAATTAATTTAGTAGAGGCCAGTGCTGTTTTTTTTTTTTTTTTTTTTAAATTTAGTCTGCCCACAAGAACAGCACAAAACACTGAAATTGCAATGTGACGCCAACAGAAGCAAAATACAGCCCATTTCTGACGGATCTGAAAATGCCATCCAGTTATCCACGAACCACACCATATATATATTTTCCATATAAAATAGCATTAATCACCTTCACGGGCAAAAGAATCGCCGTGCTACTTCTCATTATATACAATTAACAGCTTGATATCGCACATTTAAACACAGACACGACATTACCTTCCACGACTCCGCTGATGAATTTCCTGTGGCCCGTCGGTTCGACTCCAATCGCCGGCTCCTCTACCGGGCCAGGGGCCTCTGCACAAGCCTCTCCGGAGACTGGGCTGGGGCTCGGCTCGCCATCCACTTGCGGAGTCTCCAACGCTTTATCTTTTTGTACCATTCTTCGTAATCTCTCTGGTTTCAAAGTCACCAAAATTCAGTCGAATTCGGAGAGCGGAGAGATATTTCTACACGCGGTTAAGCAGGTAAATTCTCCAAGCAAACCCTGGAGGAAATAAATCGCGTCACTGTCTGTTCGACTGTTAGCTAGCTTACGGTATTAGCGAGTCTTGTTTTTTTCCAGAAAATTTAGCAACTGCTTTCACGGGATGTAAATCGAAATTGCTATCAGGTGGTGCAGAACATCATTTAGGTTGGTTAATATTCAAAGAAATACAAGAAATTGGCTTGTTCTTGCCCGATCATTTTCTCGTCTTTATGGCAGATTTACCCTACTTTTCCGTCGGTTCTTCCTGTTTACACCGAGTGCGCATGCTCACGAGACTAGATCAAACCAGTCAAAACTGGATCTGCGTGACAAAACACCGCAAAGATGTCACCAAGGAGAAGAGATAGATAACATTTGTACTTCGCAACGGTAAAAACAACACGCAGGTAACACTAGAAAATAGATTGTTTCTGTGATTTATTCACCCCAATTGACGGGGAATTATATATTATTTATTTTAAGTCAAACGACGACATTTGGTGTTGAATAAACCACGCAAATTCTGGCACATGACCACTAAAACACTAACAGGACATGACCCAGACTTATTTATTCGTAATTTTTGATAGCATCAATGGTATCAGTGACTTATCGAAAAGCCAGGCTACTAACAGTCCCTTTACTTGCAACAGAAGTTCGGGTTTCTGGCTCCAGTCAGTGGTCGAGTTGGTTATCTCCACAGCTTTGTAACATCTTGAGATTCCAGTCCATATTAGGAATGCAGTTAAGCCCCAACACCACTTTCAAACAGAGGGGAGGTACTCTCCATCTGTTGTGACCCGAGTCTGTGTCAGCAAAACACACATGCTTTGTTCTAAATCAGCAAGGAAATCTAATATATATTGGCACAACTGTATTTTTTTTTACAGTGCACATTAGCAAATGGGAGCTAGTGCATGTTGTAGGAGACTCCTTATTCCTTTGTATGTCTTTTTCATAGCAGACATGTTGACCTCAAGAAAAACATGTTATTGATTGCTTGATAGATGCTTGTGTTCCACTGAAGTGATGCAGAAAAGGCAAGATATTGTAACAGTGAGCCAAATACACCTTTTTTTTTTTATTCAACAGCAGAAATGGCAGTAAAGGGACATCTTTGTTTTATAACGTTAATGAATATATTTCATTTAAGTGAGATAGTTCTAAGTGTTTTGTAAAGCAGCCCACTGGGAAACTTAATGAAACTGAGCCACTGATGATTTTTTTTTTCACCTCTGCTTTCCTTGCTCATGTCAAAACCTATGACCAAAGCACCAAAACCAAACACAGCCGTCATTTATTTTATTATTTAGGCCAGTGGTTTTCTTGTGACATGTCAAAAGGTCTTATGAGAAAGAAGTTAATGACCTAACCTGTTAAAGATGTAACCCAACAAATACAGACAGGCAAGTGAAATTGGAAAGATTACAAAAAAAAAAAAACACAAGATGTTAGTTTTACTTTTTTATTTAGGTTTGTAGTACATTTAAATGTATTACATCCTCTCCCGGTACTTAGGGAGTTATATTCCATCTGTTTTTACCCTTAAAAATGATTCTCTGTCCATACAATTCAAAGTCAATAGTACATTTAAATAAACTTTTAAAAAAATTATTTAATTCCACGTATTCCATTTTTTTGACTTCTTTTCCTACTTTCATTATAAATCTTCACTTCAATAGAAGGTGTTAGCTTGCAGAAACACAAAAAAAAAAAACAAAAAAAAAAAACTAATGCAACAACTAAAAATGTAAAGACAGTGTTGCAGGTGAGGAGCCATCAGTTGGCTCTGAGGTAAACATCAGCTGCTTCCTGCTGCAGGCCTCCTGTTACCTCTTCAGATTCTGCTGGGCCTGCTTCAGTAAAGTGTCGAAGTCTAGTGCATGATACTTGGCTCTCGCAGGCAATGGTTCGTACTCTCTACTCGAATCTGGAATGACAAAGTCAAGATTGCATTAAAATAAAGGCGGAGAGAGAAAACAATGCAACTCCGTTGTGACTCAAGTATTACTACAACGATTAACAAATTAGTGTTCAACCATTAAATTAATCAACATTATTGTGATAATTGATCAAACAGACTGAGTAAACAAATAGAGTAACAAAAAGTCTGAACTGTGATTCCAACTTCTTAAATTTCAATATAAATATATACATTTTTTCTCTATGATGGATTGGATTTATTGCCTGTACTTGCCCAAGTACAAAGGCTTTCAGTCGCATGTAAACTGTGATGAGAACACTATCAGGCTGAACTGCAGGAAGTATTTTAAATCTTCCGCAAACTGCACCAATGCTATTTGAATAGGCCTGCACCACTGTGAGTAAGAGCTACAGGAACCTACCCAAGTCAGCATAGCTGGTCTGGCAGAACTGTCTCCTTCCACCAAAACAGAGATCAAATGGCAGCTCATCAGGCTTGCGTAGCTTGCTTCCATTCTCAATGGCTGTGAATGCATCCTTGGTGTCATAATAAGTCACAAACCCGTAGTTGTCCCTGTGGCAGATAACAAAAAACATCAGGATGTATTCATTTTCAGTTTGACAAAAGGTCTAAAGATGGTATTAAACAAGTCTTCAACACAGTTTTGACATGTAACTTGCTTTTAAAAGAGCAACCTGGGGGTGATACCAGGAAGCCCCAGTTATAAACAAGTCTGAATTTACTTTAGCACTGTAGCTTGGCCTAAGAGGTCATAGATGAGACCAACAAGGTTCAAAGACAGTGCAATTTTCTTATAATAAAACCTTATTACAAAGGAAAATAATGAAGATAATAATAGCTTCGTATGTACTTACCCATGGTCTCTAAAGTGCAGGGTGCATTCCTCAATGTCACCATACAAAGAGAATCGCTCTTTAAGTTCTTTTTGGGTCATTGTTCCTCGAATTCGACCAACATAAACAACTCGGCGCTCCTCCTGACAGAGAGAAAGTATGCAGATATTTCAGTACAATATTTTTGACTTTGGAGAATTATTTCCCTTAAAAAAGTATCAGAGTATATTAACTTACAATGGCTTTCTCCTTGCGTCTTTTCACCTCTTCCACGTTTACACCGTTGCTAGAGCTTGGCCTATATGAGGGACTAAGCAAGAGAAGATGAAACCTTTAGTCATTTTATTAAGGCTTATAATGCATTAGTATTTGTAATGCAAAGTCCACATAATGGTTGCCACCCTCACAAGCAGAATTCATGTACATACCTGTACATTTGTCTGCTTCTGCTCCACTGTTGTCGTCTTGTAGGGGATTGAGAACGCGATCTAGAACGACTCCAAGAGCCAGAACGAGAAGAGGAATAGGAGTACCTCCTCCTCCTGGGAGGGGAACGGGACACAGAGCGAGAGAACCGAGAGGAGGAACGGGATGAGGAGCTGGAACTGCTCTCAGAGTTACGGTGACGAAACCTAAGAAGAAGGAATGCCAGTCAGAAACAAGAAACATCACAACCCAAACAAGCAATGTGAAGCTATTGAATCAACCAGATATTTTAAGAGCAAGAGAGAGACTCAAACCTTTTCTTTGCTGGAGAGCATGATCTAGACCGAGATCTGGAGGAATAGTCTGACTCTGAACAGCTAGACATTGGGCTGGGAGAACGACGGGATCTTCTTTTTCTAGACCGGCCTCCTGTCCTCTCTTTGGGACTGTATCTGGGGCTGGGTGAACGAGAGGAAGCATGTCGACGGTAGGACCTCTCAAGATGCCCTCTCCTGGGGCTCCTGTCTTTGAAAGTGGATTCAGTCTCCTGCCGAGCAGGAGAAGCATCCGGAGTCTCCAGAACAGAGCTACTCTCCATCTCATCATTTGTCCCCAGGGGTACTGTCAGTGGAAAATCTCGTGCTTTGGTTGAAACCGTAGGATTTGTGGTAGACTGCAGAGATGATGCTGGAGCAGCTGGGGGTGTTTGTGTAGTGGTTGCAGCATGCTGCTTGATGGGTTTAATAGTGATAAAAGATTGCTGTTTAACATTCCAGCGCTTGCCTTGCTCTCCTGGCAAAGTTCCTTTGTTGGGGAGGCAGTAGTCATGATCCATGCATGCCAGGTCAGGGGCTACAGTGGCAGCAGCAGGAGTGGGTTTGCTTCTGGACCTGACTGAGGGCAGAGGCCGGGCTTCTATCTGGATCACTTTAGGGGAACTCGACTTGGAGGCCTCAGCAGCCTTGCTTTTCCCTAGTAAGGCCACAGGGGCCAGAGGTTTCCACATGTGGTGAGGAGGCGTTGCTGGGGGGGTCAAAGCTGAAGCAGAGGGGAAGGGACAGTTGCACCACAATTAGGTTGAACCTTCACAATCTTTGATCATGAGTATTTTAGATAACCGTGTCCATAAACGAAACCCAGAAGCATTACAAGGACCAAAAAAAAAAAAAGAACACTTCTGATTTTGGACCTTTATAAACTTAAAAAAGGTTGTGTCATCTCTCTGTTGTTTTAATGATTTAACATAATGGTGTTATCTGGTCAAAATGTTGAATTACCTGCGGTACTGGAGAGGTCATTTGCTCTTACACGCTCCAGAACCGTTTTCTCTGGAACCAATTCAACGCTGCAAAGCAAGCACAGGTGTGTTTTAGTATGTCACTGCTGAATAGTGTAGTTCACACACCTCAGTTGGTCCTCAGACTGAATTCAGACCTGAGAAGGCCATTAGTGTGGCCTGATAATGGCAGGGCTTGCGGTAGGTCTTGGCAAAAGGTATCACCTCCACACACCCACACACCAACACACACATAACAGGTTTCCCTCTCCCAGGCTTTCCTGGGAGAAAATGTTACTCAGTCACTCACACAGAGCAGCTTGAGGGCTGTAGGGTAACTCACCTCGAGTTTCCTACAGCTGCTGCTCTACCAGAGACCTCCGGCACACATTGCTCCTCTTTGGCTGAAGGGAGAAAGGAACAGGGAAGGAATTACATCAGCACAGTAACCAACCGGAGAGAACGGACCCCAGAAGCGAGAAAACTTTTAAGATTGCGTGAAAGAAACTGTCACTGTAATTACAACAAATAATGCATTAGAGCTGGATCAGATTAGTTCTGTACATTTTCCATAGAATTTCAACTATCACTCAGGAGCTACATTTGCATAGTACACAGTAAGGTGGATCAATAACAGTCACAGACAGGAGTCATGGCATGTATAGTTGAACCACTTGTTATGAGTTGGGGCTTGTACGTCTGCCCAAACAAAGACAGCAGGGTGAGAGTTAAATGGATTTGCGGACAGGGCAGAATTCCAGCAGCCGAGCAGACAAGAGCACAAAGCAGCTTCTCTGCCCCCTGCAGCATCCGTTTCAGTAGAGAAAAATCCTGCCATTTTAAACAGTCACAAGAGCCCCACAATCTTTGAACATTTAACACACGTTTCCAGGAGAATCAGATAAGCTTCAAGTTAATCTGAACAACCCAATAATATCTTTGTTCCATAGGTCATACCTGTTGGACTGTTGAACTTTGTGGTGACTCTTATATATGTATACACGCTTAAAATATAAAGAAGCTGTCATCTCACTTCACGGATCGTTTATGCAAATGCACAACGGCGGTGTATTTGTTGTAATTACTATAGCTCGTAAGGTAGGCATTCGCTATTCCTTTAAGAGTTTTTGTCAAAGTCTTTCTTCTCAGTAACCCACTACTGCTAACCAAAGATAGTGCTGCAATGTTGTTTGCTACTTCCCACCATTATGAAACCAAGAAAACTGATACTCTGACTACTTTTAGCTCCGTACTCTACTTTGTGACCTACTAAGCTACTGGCCAGTGCAACCACATCATGGCAGAATTCAGGAATGAAAAACAAATACTTTTGGGTGTGTAACATTTTCAAGCATTTAATAGACAGAGCGCTTCTTCCAGAGAGAATGGATAAAATGAAAAGTGTACTATTGTTATTACCTTGGGTCTCCTCAAACTGCTCCAATAAGCTGGTCAGATCAGCAGCTTCAATACCTAAGCAAAACAAACAAAAAAATATTACGAGTTAAAACACCAAACAATATTAGATTTATTTAAAGTATGAGCATACTTGCTTTCATACACAAATTTCAGTTCAGTGACACTGAAACAGAACAAGAATTGTCACACACAAAACCGACTGGACAAACAGGACACAGGCTCAATTGACCACATGAGCCTGAGGCTATTTTTAGGGTAATTTCACTACCTTTACTTTGAAGTTCTTATCTTGGTCATTTTACAGGCTGACCATACATGCTGTATCTTAGTTTTTCAGAACAGTCTAGACTAACCAGATCAGCCAGACTATTCGATGTGGCAATAAATGCAGTTTTGGATTAGTCTTTATATCAAAATGATTTCATATTATGAATTGATTATGTGTTGACATTCATCTCACTATAGTATGCTGGCATTAGAAATGTCTTTTCTTAATTTTATTGAGGGGAACCATGATGGTGGAATTCTCTTCCCTCCCTCGAAAATGGAAAAAATATGTAATTGCTGCCTAATGGTAATAACTGACATTATATTCACTGAAGTGTTCACATACAGTTGCTGACTTGCAGAGATGACAAACCAGCCAAACGCTTGCATGTGTCTATGCAATGACATGATCATGAGTAATTCAAACCAGACTAATGGGTGCAGAGATGGACAGCTCTATGCAGGTTGCAACAGAGACAAGAAACGAACATTGTCAGAAAGGTCAAGTGGAACAGTTTCATTTGCCACACCTTGCTGCAATAAATACTCGAAGAGCAATTCAACAAGTAAGTGATGTGAATGTGGACTCAAAGAGCATCTGTCAGGCTCTAAGGGTTAAAGTGGTAAAAGGTGTAGGAGGATTATGGCCTCATTGTAATTTTTTACAGTGGCTAGGTATTATTTTACTGCACTATTGGTTTATTTGGTTTCTCATTAGCCAACCACAGGAACAGATTAAATACAGGCTGGAGCTGTAGTCAGCAGTGGTACCAACAAGAATGAATTATTAATTGACTATTTCACTAAATCAATTGTGTACTTACTCCCCCCAGAAAAAAACAAAAAAACAAACAAATCAACAATAAGCTCACCTATTTCACTGGTGAACGCCTCAATCAACTCCTGTGTGGGGTTCTTTGCTCTCTGTGGCGTCACTGTTGTAGTGGGTTTCTCTTTAGTTTCAAGTACAACAGGTTCCTTTGTTAAACTCTTTGAGTCCGAAAGCTCAGTACCATTGGTTGTAGGTTTGGAAGACTTGCTGTCAGATGTGACGGCGTTATTTAGGTAGGTAAGTGTAGCAACCTCAGGCACCTTCTGGGAAACAACAGGGGTCTTCTGGGGGGCACTGGGAGCAGAACAAGTAGCAGCATCTGTAGTGGTTTTAGGAGAGGTCTTAGTGCTCTCTACAGACTTGGAAGAGTCAGACAGTGATTTGGGGACTTCACTGACTCTAGCCTTTCCTTCTGACAATGCAGGGGAACCTTTTCCATCTGCTGAAGACATGAGCTGAGTGGCAGGTTTTAAAGATGCTGGAGACCCAACACTTTGAGGTGCACAATGTACTGCAGGCTGAGCACTGTTGTGGTTTTGTGTGGCTGACTTCATAGAACTAGGGGCAGGACCTGAGGGTTTTTGGGGTGGAGAAAGTTTGGAGGGTTGAGGTGTTTGCTCTGATTTAGGAAGAGCAGTAGTAGCAGCTGAAACTTTACTTGATGAAGCAACCATGTAGGCTGGTGGCACCAACAATGCCTCAGGGGTGGGTGGTGCACACGGTCCCCTCGGCTGCCAGGCAGGTTTCACCTCCTCCTCTTCCTTCTTTGCTGCCTGGGGGTTGGGCCGTCGAGGATCTTTGGGGCTGGGATCAGGCAGGCAGGGAATAGGGGGGAGCTCTTTGGGAAGCTCTGGAAGACTGGGCCACTTAGTGCTGTTGCCGTCCTGTTTTTCCACCGGAGCAGGCTTTTTCTGCTGTCGAAGTCGTCTGTACTCTGCCAGACTGAGTGATTTGGGTTTCGGCTCTGGGACTGTGGGGGCCACAGGAGGGAGGGCCTCACTAACAGGCGATGTCATCTGGGGAGTCGCTGAGCTAGGAGCAGCTGCAGGGCTCTCTGAAGACACAGCGGAGAGGATAGCAGCAGGAGCCGCCGCCGTGTCTTCTCGCTCAACAGGGAGTTTTGGCGTACCATCGGGCTGTTGGGGACTCACTGCTGTTGGTAAACAACTAGACTGACTCTTCTCAGGGATAGCACTTAACGGAGCTGTGTCCTGTCCGGGTGACAGACGTGTGGCAACCTGCACAATATTTTCAGGCAGTAGTGTTGTAGTAGTGGCTTCTGCTTGCGTTTCACTTTGGCATAGATCTTCTTCCTTGGGTTTACCAGGAGATGAAGCTGGAGTTGATTCAAGTGGAACCTTTGGGACTTTAAGTTTCTTCTCTTCTTTTACAGACATTTTTTCAGGCTTTTTGGGCAATTCCTGTGCTTTCTTTCTTGCAGTACCACTCCTAAGGACCCTCCCCTCCACAGGATTAGGTTGGGACTGTTTTTTGCATTTCTTTTTCTTTTTCCTCCGGGAAGGGCTTTTCTCTTTAATCTCCTCCTTCTGTCTCTTAATGATCATCTCATCTTTAACACCTGAACATAGGCCTGTTGTCACTGGAACCTCGCTAACTGTTGCTTCTTCATCATCAACTACTATGTGCTCTGAACAGTCAGAGGCTGCCTCTTCGGCTTCATCTGAAGCTTTCTGCTCATCTTCTGAAGATCGCTCTTTAAGAGGCAGAGAGACTGGGAGATCCATGTTTGGGATGGCCAGGATGGGTTCTCCATTTTCTCCCTGATCCACAACTTCAAGTAATATACCTCCCTCAGGCAGCATCTGTTGTCCCTCCTCATTCTCCACACATATGGCCATACAGTACGGGTGCATATGCCTGACCAAGTCCCCCAGGTTAAGTGAAAGTCCATCTTCACCTTCCTGTTCAAAGGTGACTGGAAGGGGCAAGGTCAGACCTTCCCAGTCTAGCAGGCTACTGTCAGTGCATGAGTCCTGCCCCCCTGGGCTCAGAGTGAGGGAGCCATCTTCCTCCTCCTCTCCATCACTCCTCTGGAGAGAGTCTGGCTGCATCCTCGGGAGGCTCTGCATACACAGACAAATATCCAGTCAAATTCTGAAATCTGTCTGCAGTTAAGGTTTACATGCATAACCACAAGTAAGAAAAGCTACCTTTCCAGTTGATAAAGCTCTTGCATTACATAGTTTGTCTTTCTCTGGAGGGGAACGGGACAGACACAGCAACCTCCTGAGCTGGATAATGTGAGAAAAACAAAAGCACAGCCACATTAATATAATAACATTTAGAAAACTTTATTCAATGGGCATCGCGTATGTTTAGAACCACAGAGGTCTACAGCCTTTCACTTTCCAACCCAAGCTCAAAGACAAGATGGGGGATGTTGAGTGCAGAAATTTGTGAGACACTTTGAGAGTTATGTGTGACAGCTGGGCACTAACCGGAGAGTGTTCCCTGCCCTTCTGACCCGACAGCAGGTCTGAGTCAGGCAGTGTGTCAAACGGGGACAAGTTCTCATCATCTACATTGTCAAGGATCTCCGTCAGGGCGGTTAGCAGCGTGGCTTCACTTTCCTCATCAAGTCCTTTAGTCTAAATAAAGAACAACAAATGAGGTCAAAGTGTGAATGTCAGGCACTGTAAACAAACAAGCGTGCACATTCGATCTCTGACAGGATACCATAGCACTCAAGTTCAACCATGCAAAATTAGCCTTGCCTCTATTGTTGGTGTGTCCTCAAAGATAGAAAGGATTGAGGGGTCTAAGCAGCTTTGAAGGACCTCCAGAGATTCTCCAGGGCTCAGCACAGCAGACTAAAGAGGAAAAAGCACACTTCAGATTATGTTTGGACAAAAACACAAACCTGAAAACATTAATCAGGTAAAAACATAGTGCAAACACAACCAAAAGTGGACAAGCGGCTGTTCCTAAAAACAAAATTGTATGCACAAGTGCAAGGAATCTGACAGCTACCCACTTCTTCAGTCAGATGTGATCATAATACTGTAATAAACAGTAAAAAAGTGTAACTTGTTATCGCAGCATCTTCAATTAATTCAATAAAAACTCTAATGTTTGTAATGCACGACAAGTTGTAATATGGAGAATGGGAATTAAGATTACTCGAGATCAGAGCAAATATCACTGCAATGTTAGAGATGTACCACTGGGCTGCACATCTGTTACAACTGGACTGTTCTGATTTTGATTTATTTCCTGTCTTTCAAAATGAAGTCCAGCTGCCCTTGATTTGTAAACGTCCTACCACCTCTGTTACCAAGAGTCTTTATAGATACAGAAATGTAACATATTTAAAATTAAGTATAATCTTTGCATAAGTTAAACAAAGAAGTAGGTCAAACAAGCTTATTTATTTTTGTGGGTTGTAGCTAAGGATAAGCTTAAGTGAAGCATCTGAAAATGCGAGTCAGACAAGGAAACCCCAGAGGGAAAGGGAGGGCACATGTTTGTAGTTCCAGCCTGAAGAAGACAAAAAAACCCAAATGCTGGAGGCTTTTTTTCCTGAAATACACAAACACTGGAGCATGTGACACCTTTTTTTAAAAACAAGTTATCAACATTTTAACTTTAAAACCAATTCTGAATTTAGCACTTCTGTTTAAGTTCATGAAACAAACATCACATTTCAATTGTGCAGCATGTGATGCAGCCTTAGTAGATGTAAAACTACTCATCAAATTTCACTCATGTACATAACGACATTATCTTCAGCAGGCGACCCCACTATTTAACAGCAAAGATAAGTGACAACTTTGTGCACTTTAATCTCATCACGCAGCAGCCCCTTACAATGGCCCACGTGTTTCTGTCTACATGCACACAGCGCGCAGACATGTTTGATCCTCGCCTCACCCCGTCCAAAAGGGAAGCCACCACGCAGCCCACGTGTTGCACTAAAACAAACCTGAGCAGGGCTCTTATTTCTCCGTCTGTCTCATATTTTAATCTTCACAAACCGAAGTGCAACATTTTATTGTTTATTTGTACTCTAAACGGAACAGCTTCTGGTTTCTAAACTCGACGGAACGATGCGTTTTGAGATTAAATCGATCGCGTCTTCTGCGCATGTGTGAAAGAAAGCCAACATGTGATTCACCACGGCTGAGCCACATGTGGAAATACACACACGTAGGTTTTGAATGAAAACTTGATCCAACAGTGTAAGAAAGGGGTCATCATTCAGTTGTGTGACTGCACTGACTACAGTATTTATATAAATACAAAATAACTTCATTGTTGTGTGCATCATTGAATTGTTGGGACATTACTGCAATGTGCTGGCGTGAAGCCTAAAAACTACACTAATGCAAAACTAATAAATCACCTAATCTACCGTCGAGGAAAAGAATCGCCTCCACAGAGATAATACGACAAAGGTATCTGATCTGCAGCTTGCTTTGTTTGTTGCCACGTGTGTATCAAACAGTACACACAGTACTGTAGCACAAACAGCCCACTGAAGGAGCTCAAAAGTGGTTCGTTGATATGAATTGCACACCTTGTGTACATGCCAGACCAACTAACTATAAAAATACACAACTGTCACGTCACTTGTTTAATCGTCTGTGTTTATTATAAGGTGAGGAAATGTGGCTCGTCCACTCCAGCAGCCGGCCAACCAGGCTCCATTGAGTCACGAGCGAGCATTTACTAACAGATACAAACCCATTTACAATAAAGCACTGTGTGTTATTCATTAAACATGCTACAAGACGGTTATCAAGCTGTATTCAGCACAAACCCACAAGTACTTTTTGAATAAGTTTTACTAGGAATACTACGGTTGCTATCCACGTGTCACTTTTCCATGCGCAGTGTGTGGCTCGTACAGACAACACGCGTAGTTTGTCCTCTAAAAACACACTAAAACTACTAACAGCGGGGTTACATGTTGGGAAATAAAGTGCAGAAGGTATCCTTTACCTCGTCTAGTGTATCCATGGCGAAAAATTCCATATTGCACGCAGTTAAAATCTCCTCGCCTGCTCCCCACCGCGCCGCCATCTTACGGTCTACTCCCTACCGGCCCAGCGTCGGAATGAAAAGTAATGAAGCACGCCGGCACGAAACACGTGGTCCAACCTTCCCGGCAAAATGACGCAAAGTGACGCTGCGGGGTCAGACGTTGCGTCCTTACGTATTTTTGTAGTTCTATTCGCCACGAGTTCTCGGGTAGACGAGTTGAACGAGTTCGACACAGTTTCAGATTTAACAAATGGAGCGTTTTCTCCAGTGTGTATGTTCTTGTAGGGAAAAACCGAGGTAAGGAGCCCCCGCCATGATACCCCTCGACGAAATGCTAAACTCAATTTTGTTGCCTTGGTACTTGTACTCAGTACTATGAAAATAAAGTTGAATTCATTCTCGGTGTAACCTAATCTAACGTTATGCATAAGTAACACGTTTGTCTTGTCAGGTAAGATTCCCTGTAGGAGCTTCTTCCCCTTCTCAATATACTACATTTAGTTTTATAATAACTAAGTTGTTATCCTTTATGATTCAGTTGCCCTCTAAATTAGTTTACTGAAGCATACTTCTTGTGTACATATTATACTAATATTGTGTACATATGGTACTGATATTCAAAATATTTGTAGTTTTAAAGAACACAGTTTTCAAGTAGGGTGTGTGACCCTGGTTTACGCTTCTCTTTACTCTTTAATATAATCATTTATAATTTTCATTTATAATTTATGACATAATAATAATAATAATAATAATAATAATAATAATAATAATGATAATAATAATAACAGTAATAATAATAATAATATATTTTTGTTTGGCACAACAGCAACTTTCACTAGTATAGTTTTGTATTTTGTCGGCTGAATTTTACATCTACAAACTTTCTACGTTCTTCTGCCTTTATTTGTAAAAGCCCAAAGTCTCCTGCACCCCGATAAACTTTAAACTCATGGGACTCAGAAATAATTGTTCATTACTTTCCTCAGCTCTCTCGCATTACTGTTGTTTTGCTTGATGACAGTTGATTATTTTTATGACATATATATATTTTTTTATATAGGAGAGCCTTTCCTCCTTATATTTTTGTTTTAATTTTCTCTAAACTGTGTTTTATTTCTTCGCTTTCTTTATTTCTTCTAAACTGTATTGGTTTTTATACACTGCTTTGTTTTAATCTGTCCTTTAAATTCTAGTGATTTTATGACTTTACTGCTTTATTTTGCTGTGTTGCATTGTAATTTCTATCATTTATGATAAATCAAGCAAAAGTACCAATGATTTGCTGGGCCCAGCTTCCTAGATGTGAGTTTTTACTGTTTTCTTCTGTTTTATCTTCATATGAAAGGCATATTTGGCGGCGTTGAAATGTTAGACTGACAAAACAAGACACCTGATTATGATTATGTGAGTGAGTGAACAAAAAAAACATTTTAAAAAATAGCGAATGCAAAGCAACACTTCACTTCAAAAGCTTCCTTTATGTGACTCTTTGTATGTTGGCTTTGCTGTATGAAAACTTTCGAGGATGTAGTTTGTGATGTTGTTGCAATCGACTCCATTTTAGGTTCGTGAAACATGTTTCTAATGTTTTGTCTGTCTCTGTTTACACAGTATGGAGCAGCAGAAGTGAAAGAATCTCCCTACAGTGCAATGTGAAATCCAATACAACAACACAAGAAACTGCTCATAACCCTTCCAGGAAAGTGGTAACATTAGAAGGAACACACGGTATGCAAAGCATGCAACAACAAAGAATGCAAATATTCAGTGTTGTGGGTCATTTTAATCTCTTTACTATGTGATGGCAGACCTCCAGTTCCTTGTCACATGAATTAGCGGTTGAAATGTCCTAAATACGTTGATTCCAGAGTTATCTATCTGTTTTTCTTCAGACTTAAATAATTGACAATTTGGGATAAAAGGATGATCTACTGGTTTACTACCAGTCTGCTGTTGTGGTAGTAATAGCAATAAAACAGAACCACAATGAAAAAACATTAAAACACAAAAATCTATATTATTTGAGGGTATTTTTGACAAATAAATACAAAAATACAATGCATTATGAAAAAGGACACAAATGCACTCACACATATACAGAATAAAACCCCACTTTGCTCACTGTGTCAGATATTGAAGTTTACATGTTGTCTCACCAACATCCTGAAAATTATTGTAATGCTGAAAAACAACCCAGTAACCCAAAAGGGTTTCAAAGCAAGAAAAGAAAAGTTCTGAAATGATATATAGCAGTACCTATAACTCAGTTTTATGGTTCTTGTCCATTGGGCTCCTACAGTTTTAGTTTGCTTTCGGTGATTGTGGAGACGAGGAAGTAAAGAGGACTCTCCAGGACTGGAGGACACTCATGTCATTCTCTGAATGAGAAAAACACAATTTGTGTTCAGATTGTCTCACTTTTAGACTGAGTGGTATTTTGTGTCACAGTTAACGGGCACATCTCTTCTGACAAGAAATATGATATAATTTTTTACTTTTGCTCACACTGAGAATTACACAATGACAGTAATTTAATCCTAAAGACAGTTTTTGCTCAGTTAGTGTTCAGCTGTCTTTATATCCTTCCCTGTATTGAGTTAAAATGATGTACTGAAGCAAACTTGGGCTAGAAGGTGTCGTAATGAATCAGTTTCATTACTTTATGACTCTTTTAAAACGCCATTTGAATGTGGTTGTTGTTCAGCGAAAGTCACATAGAGTGTTCCAGAGTAAACCCATCACAGGGCGAACACAGACAGACAGACAGACAACCACTGAGGCCCACAATTTTACAATTTAAAATCACTAAACTTTGCTGGAACTCCAGGAGAAAACACAGACAGGCACAGGGAGAACAAAGTCCACACAGATGGGCCCAAACTGACCAACATGCTCAAACCCATAACTTTCTTTCTGTGAGGCAACCACCATGCTCCCCACTTTTATTGTCAAAGATGCAAACCTAAAAAAACTATTCTTAGTGTCGTAGTGCCTAGCCCAGGAAATTAACGAGACAGTCTTTGCTCTTCAGGAGTCAGGTGATGGGTATGTCCATCACAAAAGAACTGCCATCTTTCCATATGAACATCCAGCTGTTTGTTGTCATGTGACCAAAATGCCATACTTGCAGTCAAGTGATGACAACAAAGCAAACGTGCATTAGCTGATGAAGGCTTTTAGATGTGGGTAAAACTCATGGGCATTGAGTGAAGATTTCCTCTCGTATAGCTCTGTTTTCTGGTTTAGGGCTAATAACACTTTACCTTAAGAATAAGCCACATATTGAATACCATTTACACAAAGGATTACCTCCATGAAATCATCTCTCACTAACCAAACATCACACTGAGAGACAAACTGCTTCGCCTCAGAGCTTGGGTAAATTAAATAAAAAACATGGCTGGATGTCTTTTTTTGTCATGAGCATAAAAGAAAGGTATGACGAGCGAACAAGACGACAGGCAACAGAGAGGTGAAAATTAAACTGGGTCAGATACAAAAGTGGGGGTGATGTGTTTCTCATTAGGATTCGTATTGCATGGCATAGAAAAGCCATAGGCAATTCCCCGTGTCCCACAGGTAGAAATGGATTAGAGGTGAGCCCAACCACGAGCACACATCCGTACACACTGTGGTCTTCCATTGTGGCTTACCACATTGACTGTGTTCTACATTTTGTCATTTATTCTCTGCTGTGTGATTAACAAAAGTGAAAAGCCATTTGTAAAGTTGTAAAAATCTCTCTACATTTTAACAGGAGAGCCTTGTTAAGAAGAGACACATCTGGTTACAGACTCAGTAGTTTTGTGTGTGTGTGCTGTATATTCTCTGGCATGGATCCAGGAATCCCTAAGGTAACATTTCTGAGTCACACCGATCAATTTCCTACGAACAACAGGCCCTTTTGTATGTATGTACAAATGCGGCGTATTATTAGTTTAGAAGCTTGCAAAGGATTGAAGGGTTTGCAGCTCTTATTTGTAGCTTGTAGGGTCTCGACTAGTATCCCAGAGCAAGACACAGAACCCAAACTGCTCCTGATGAGTGTGAACGTATGTTGCTTTAAACAAAATTATATACTAAATAGATACAGCCAGATAGAGCAAGAAGGACTAAGTATGTTTGGATTTGTCTTTCAACTTGAATGCCAGAAGATCTCGTTTTAGTTTGCTGAGCTTCAGTGGTTTTCACGTATCGGTATCACTGTCATCTACAAAGAATGTTCTCATTAAGTTATCATGTTTGTTCCACGTTATCCCTGTTTTGCACTTAATGTGGTGAGAGGATTGGAAGCAATCATCACAGCTCACAGTTCCTCATTGCCTTTTGCTGCATTTAACCTGAGTTTCCTTGTTCCTTGTTTTTCCAAGTTTCTTGAGACACAACAGGCCCAAACAGTCTGCATCCCATTATCCTCCGTGTCCTAATCAATCTCTGCTGCCCGTATTTTCTCTGTAGCTTTCTCTCTTTTTTTCCCCCCCTCAGTCTATCAGAGGCTGTGTACTGTACATCTGTGGGAGCTGTAAAGACTTGTGAGCTCGTCTGTGTGTGAGAGAGACAGAGAAAGAGAGGAACACCACTGTGCCCCAGCACACTCCCTAACTGCTACCTACCGCTGCTCTGCCGTTGCCATGGATACAGTGCCCTCTCTCTCCCCTCTCTCCCTCTCTCAGTGGGGCTGGAGAGAAGAGGAGAGGAGAGGAGAGGAGAGGAGAGGAGAGGAGGAAGAGAAGTGGTTCTGGCTGCTGCCTCTGCGTCATATTCATACCAGTGCAGCTGAAAACTCCCCCTCCCCTCCTTCCCCCCCCTTCCTCGTCCACCTCCTTCTTCCTTCCTTCCTTCCCTCCTTCCTTCCTTCTCATCATCCAATTTGCACACTGCTACACCCCCCCACCTCCATTTGTGTCTCCTATCTGCATCTGCTCATCACAGTCTTCCTCTCTCTCTCCTTCTCTCTCTCTCTCTCTCTCTCTCTCTCTCTCTCTGCTGGCCCAGCTTGGTTTCCTCTGCGTGGCTGACCTGAGCGGACTTTTTCGAGCGAGTGTGGGGAGAGAAGAAAGAAGGAAGACAAAGGTAAGCGTTTGCACGGAGGATGTTTAGGAGTGTTTGTAAGAGAGAGTGTGAAGAAAGGAGAAAGGACAAGAGGGGAGGGGAAGGGGGGGCAGCGTAGAACACCTGCAAGACAAAAGACTGAGAGGAAAGCAATGATGGCATGAACTCACATGTGATATGAAGTGTGCCACCAGCAGCCCCTTTAAACATTTTTTGAAGGGGATTTACGAAGAAATGAGGCTGTCAGCGCTTGTGAACAAGTGTTTGTCCGCAGCGTAAGGACAACATGATGAGATGTGCGCCTCAGCGAGCCAAGCAGTCAGTGCGTCTGTCTGTGTGCAGGCACTTTGCTGTCTGTCACATAGTGTTATGGAACTGCTGCTGCTGCTGCTGCTGCTGCTGCGTGTTCCCACAGCGGAGGGGAAGGAGGCGAACGGAAGGGGGAACTTCATTATTCTCAGAGAGCTTTTTGAGCGATGTGTGGATGTGTTGACAGAGCGGGAATCTCTTTATCTGCAAGAGTAGGAGAGTGAGAGGAAGCAAGGAGAGAGAGAGAGAAAGAGCATACCCAACAGTGCAGTTAATGTTGAAGTGCTCAGCTTCAAAGCCTAATCACTCCTGGAAACAGAAGCCATTTCCCAAATCACATTCACATACCCCCCCACCCTTCTGCTTTATTTTCTCTGTTGCGCTCTCATCTCTTCTTGTTCTCTCTCTTTGCAGCATTGGGGATTTCTCTATCTCTCATATCTTCTATTGTTCACCATTTGTACCGTGGCAGGATCTTCTGTAAATGTCAAACCCACAGATCGCGACCTGCAAGGTGCACACACACACAAAAAAAAACAACAAACGTTGACAGAATAGCAGGAAGAGATGAGAGGACTGAGGAAGACACAGAGCTTGTTAAAACAGAGAGGGATAAAAAAAAAAAAAAAAAAAGGTGCGTGTGTGTGAAGGGGAAATGAAAAGAGGGGGGGAGAAGACAAGTAAAGGGAAAAGAAGAGGAGGCCCGCAGGGTTGTTCATTGTGTCTTGGTCCTGAGAGCAGTGTCTGACACTGTGTATGACATTTAACTGTGATGCCTCTGCCAGTGAGCTGGTGTGTGGGGAATGTGCCTGTCAGCTTTCGTTTCAGTGGAGACAGTTGTTTGTCTTTTGTTAGTATATTGGTTGTGAGTGACAGAAAACAGCGATCAGAGGTTTGTTGAACAGGGCTTCAACTCACTTGGGGTGGGGGGGCTTTGTTAGTGCAGCGAATACATGGATATAATAGACTATGAGTTTGTAGCCTTCTTTTCACAGCTCTACTAAAACCAAAGTACCCCTTTACTGACACAATATGTCACATTTAGAACAGTGTTACGAGTATGTTCATTTGAATTAAATTTGAGACTAGATCGTAAAATAGTTCTTAATTTTTTTTCATACAATTGAATAACTGTCAAATTTGCATTCTGAGAACTACCACTTAGATTAAATGAGCTGTGCATGATTAAACCCATTTATTAATTACTTTAGCTCCTTTTTCTTTTTTCAATAAATACTTCACTGTTTACCCCCTCCAACTTTACCTGCCACTTGACTTCCATTCAGAGATTATACTTATCAACTATAACATTAAAATCAGCTGCCTAATACTGTGTAGGTGACCTTCGTGTTGGAAAAACAACTGTTGCAGCACGGACACAGGACCTCTGGGGGTGACCTGTGGTGTCCTTTGGATCATGTGGGTTGCAGGATTGTGGCCCTCCTGCACGTTTTAGATGTTTCTCTCTTCCAACACACCTGATTCAAATGATCAGCTCATCATCAAGAGCTGCAGAAGCCTGATAACGATCCTGATCATTTGAATCAGGTGTGTTGGAAGAGGGAAACATCTAAAACATGCAGGACTGTGGTCCTCGAGGACCAGGATTGCCCACCCATGTTCTAGTGCAACCTGTCGATGCTTGATTAAACTGCGATTTTGTGATTTTGGCTCCTTGTCACATTCCTTGATTTGTTCCTGTGCAGTTCTCCATGCTCAGATGGGTGGTGTGTCTCAAAGAAACATCAACATGAATGCCAGAGCCTCAGGTTTCTTAGCAGACCATTACACTGATCAATGTTATTCACTTCACCTGTCAGCGGTTTAATTGTTGTGGCTGACTTTGGAACTGCTCAGGATTACTTTAACAGGAACTGGAAAATGTTGTTTGGGAGATGGACATCTGGAATGCCCTGCTCAGCCTGCTGCCACCGCAACCTGAAGAAAATGGAAAAATGGACCCATAACTTTTAGATATCTCCCAAATATTTATCCATTACTTCGGAGCTAACAATTGCACCTAGGTATGTTTAGACATCTTGCACTAGTTTTCACTCTCTACTGCATTACGTTGCCTCGGTTTCTCAGAAATGGAAAAACAGGTCAAATAGTCCAAGACTAAAATCTTGTTTCTATGGAAATTGCCGTTGAAGGCATGAGGCTTAATTTGTGTCTGGGAAACTGCCTGGTAGTGTTTAAGTGTTAAACCTGACTCAATATGTGTATGCATATTTTAATGAAATCTTAATTTTTGCGTGCTTCCCCACAGTTTTTCCAAGTAGCAATGCAAAAAATACCTCCTAGAGTAAAAATGCCCTTGTTTAGGAATCACTGTACTCTTTCCTATATTCAGTCACAGTAAGGCAGTGATACAGAACGGTCTATTATCGAGCTGACAGGATCAGGTACACGAGCAACACAGACATCCAACTCACGGGAGTCAGTTATGTGCCTGTGTGTTTATGCAGTGAAGTGTCAGATTATGAGATTATTGGCTTGAAGAACAGGCACGCTTGAGCCAAGAGAAGTTATGGGATGAAGGGGAAGGGAATCGAGAAAAGTGGAGGAGGGAAAGGAAATGAAACACAATCACATCAGGCTGCATCGCGCTGCAGAAAGGTTGAGGTAATATCAACAGGGCGAGGAGATTAAATTGACAGAGTGAAGTAAGATTAAAAAGCAAAAAAAAAAAAAGCTGAAAAGAGAGAGAAGAGGCAGAGGCTGGCGGGTAGACGTCTGCAGTCGAGTCAGACTGTTTACATGCAGCTTGTTGGTTGTGAGTGTGCGCACATTTGTACGTGCACGCTCTTCCTGCCTCCCATGGGTCTCCAGTGTCCCTGCGCTCCAGGTGGGCTTTGCATTTTTAATCGATACTGTCTGTAGTGATTAACACCAGTGTTCTCTCTGCAGCAGAAAAACAAAAGGAAGGAGAGGGAGAGAGAGACAGAAAGAGAGATGGAAATCTGTCATACATGAGGCATGGTGTGTGAGTTAGTGTGCCTGTGCGTGTGTGTTTGTTTGGCAGTAATGACCCTCTGCCTCTGGGCTCCTACTGAGTATGTTTATTTCCCACAGCAGCACCGGGCAAAAATAGACGATGCATCACTGCCACACACACACCTTGTGCATTTTCTCTTTTTCCTCTCCTTTGCTCTAATTGCCTCCCTCCTGCATTCCCCGTTTCACACACACTCCCTCGCTCCGCTTCCATATTACTTTCTCCAGTCTTACATACCGCTAAGGCTCTTTCTTCCTATTTCACTCCTCTCTCATTTTCCCTCCCACTTGTGTTGCAATATGCCTATTAATGATGCAGCTAGAGCGCGGCTGCCAACTTCCTGCCTCTGACAGAGAGAGAGGAGTGTAGTTGTGCTGTACATGCCCTGCTTTGTACCACTCCCTCTTATCTCTCCACCCCTCTGTCTGTGTTGTTTTCCTCAGAGTTAGCCCATGCGAGCAGCGTGTGGACTGAGTGCAGCTGTTTCGTTCAGAGAAGAGCCCAACATGTGAGAAGATGTCTGTTGGAGGTTGTGCTTGTCCCGGTGAGTGCCGACTCTCTTCTTCTTCTTCTTCTCTCTTCTTTGCCGTCTCCCTCTTTCCTCCTCCGTCTCTGTGCTCAGTGGTGCTGTCAGAAAGATGACTTATGTAAAAGTGCTGCAAAGCCCCCCAGGGCCAGCGCCAAGCTGTGCGAGTTTGTGTGTACGTACGTGTGTGTGTTGGTGAGGCCATGCTACACACTCAACACATGTCCTAAAACAAGGTTATAGACTGAGGCTACCACACTTTAGGATTGAGTTGTTCAGCAGACCCTCTCAGTCACGCTAGCTGGCTGTGCAGCAGATCAATGGCTGTTTGAGTTTTACCACAAACAGAGACACTGAGATGTCAATAAGTACTTTGCTTGCTGACTCTTTTTACTCGTTTTCTCAGCTTCATATGGGCACAATAGGTCTGCTTCTTAATTATTTGTGCTCTTTGATGTATATAAATGTCAGTAGAAATGATTGCTTAGTCAGAGAGAAAAGAATGAGGAAAAAATAAATTAATTTACTTGTTGCAACATTGTTTACAGCTAGTTTCTCTTGATGAGTATAAACCAATAAAGAGGTGCTTAAGATTGAGCCAAGAGTTGAATTTGCTTGCACTTAAACCACTGTTTGGAAACTAAACAGTTCTCTGCCATTGCATTTTGCATTCTTGCTTGTTCATTTTTGATGCAATTGTTAGACTTTTCCTGAAATCACACTCTTGATCTTCAGAGGGAGGCTACATGAAATATGCCTTAGTACCATTGTATACAATCTTGTTGGTATTCTCGCTACTGTATCAGAGCAAGAGGAAGGAAATCTTGTACAGTCTGAGTGTGTCTGCACATGTCAGTCTTTGGCAAGCAAAATGTTTTGGCAATTTTTATCAAGTAGATCTTATAATCTGTTCTTCTCCATGGAGTGTTTGATCCTTTTTTTTGACTTTGGAGCAATTTCTCTTTAATGGTATCCCACTGAGAGCAGACAGGCTACAGAGATGGTTGCCTTGTGCACAGTGAAAAGCCTCACAGCGCCAGGGGACGGGCTCTGTGAAGCACAAGGGAGCGAGTATCAGATAGAAATTGAATCGTAGCATCTGCTCGGGGGGATCTCAGAGAGGGCAGATTGAATTAGGGTGTCAGTATCATTTTAATGGGGCTGCTCTGATTCATTGGCAATCGGCTATCAGATGGAATAATATTAGGCCTCTGCTTGATGTTCTCTTCTCACATCTTTCCTTTTTCTCCACTTTCTGGCGTCCTCACTCCCTCTTGTAGTTTCTCGGTATCTCTACCTCCTTCGCTCCCTCTGTTGACCGACTTTACTGTGGAGCAGAAACTTTTAATGACATCCACATGTTTCTGAAGGATGTACAGGGAACGAGGTCCACTGGAAAGATCTGCCATCTGGATGCTGTGTACCAACATTCAAACAATCACAGGCTTACCAAGCTGCACTCACGCTTGCTTGCAAATACGCAGCACAACCGTACATTCGCGCACATGTGCACCTTCATGAGGAGCCTGCTGGGGCAAGTTTAGACTGGTAGATCCCACAGATAACCACGGAACAACATTGATCAACACTGGTTTGCAGTTAAGCTCTCCCTCCCTGTGCGTGTGCTGTAAATCATTATGCTTGAAGGCTGGTTTGTTTACATTCTTGTATGATGGTGGATGGAAGATCCTCCCCATCGTTTGTGTGTGAATCTGTATTGTAAAAACAAATCCTCTCTTAGTTGAACATCACTTTCCCTTTCATCTGGTCATCTTTGTTTGGTTATCAGGTCATTATATAATAGAGGAATTTGAGCTAAGCATATATGCATGGAGCATATTATAATAAAGAACAGACTTTCTCCTGTGCGTCTAGTTCACTGACAACCCCATAACAGCCTGCTGTTGTTGTGACTTTGCTGTGAATCAGCCTTTTTAAGGCTTTGTTCCTCGCATGAAGGAGATTCGTCCTAACACAGTGGAGCCAATCACATCCTTTATTCAGGCTAAATGGTAAAAATAGATTGCCTGCGAGCTGAAGATACCCCCCTCCCCATTCTCACATGCACCCACTCAAGCATGCGCTCCCCTTTGCTCACCACTCTCTCCGTCTCTCACCCATCTCACTCTAACCCCTCCCGCCCATTTCTGCCTTCCTCATCTCACTCTCTCCCCCTCTTCCTCTTTCACCCTCTCCCCCTCTTTCTCCCCTTCTCTGTCACTCCTTCATCCCTCACTGACTGCCTTTTGCAGTAACAGTGGTGTTACCTCATGCAGAAAGTCACATGGTTCCTGATTGGAGAAAAGTGACTTAAAGCAGAGCCAAGATGGCAGCCAAACAGCCAGGGTTTTTTTTTTTTTTTTTTTGATTACTGTTACACAACAACGCGACTGCCTCAGCTTTATCTCACTGCACTGAAAGCCTGTGCCTCTCTTTCTTTTCCTCCTCAGTTCTTCACTTTTTCTCTCCCCCTCCTCTCTCTACCCTAGTGAGTCTCTCAGATCTTGTTTGCTAGATCAAAATGGCTGTGTGTGCAGAGGCAGAGAGAAAGATGGAATGCGTGGGAGACAGAGATGCTGGGGAGTCAGAGAAATAGGGGGGGGGGGGAGTTGCAGAGTGGAGATGAGCTGTAGTGATGTCACATCTGCTGCAGGCCGACAGGATGGCAAAAGAAAGCTGGCATGTGCCACAAAGCCCGAGAGGAGGGGGAGGATGGACAGAAAACTAAACGCCTGAGAAGGAGACGATTGTCTATCAAAGCACACCTGTATTTGTGAGAGATATGCAAGCTGCGGAGTCTTACAAACATGAAAGCAGGTTTGGTAGACAGACGGGTGACAGAGACCGTGTTCAGAATGAAAGGAAGCTGTCCTGAAAACAAAAGGTGTGAGGACAGCTGCAGCGTTGTCTGAAAACTGTATCTTTGTGCCACCTGTGTATGTACAAGTGTGTGGGCTCGAGACTATTTAAGGCTCAGGAATGGCGCGTTAACGCTATCAACTGGATTTATATTTTTCTCCGATAGCTTCAATCAAACAGCCTGGTTGGTGTCAAAGATAAACTACACAAGCGAACAGTGAATGGCACACTGTGCATTTAATAAAAATGTATGTAAATCATGGAAATTTTGAGACTGTTAAAAAGATTTCTGCCATAAAACAGAAAATATATATTCTGCTGCTGGGGATTTGAGGGGCAGTAAAATCAGTGAAGTGTCTCCCTAAACTGAAAAAAGACTTGAATCGGCTTGTAGAATTTATGTTTGAGACATGATAATTGTTATTTAAAGGCTTTGTGTTATGTATTCCAGTATCACGGTGTTATTATTCATACATCTGCGGCGCGGCTCCGTAATTAGTCTCTAAATAACATCCTCGCTACAGTCTGTCTCTCTGTTGTTCAGTTTAAAAAGAGACATTAGCATTACACTGTGCCGTATTGCAAAATGCATGCTTAAAATTTATTCGGTGCATTTTTAACCAGAGTTTACGGAGATAAACCTACAATTTAGACTGCAACAAATCTGGTATGTCAACAACAATCCTGTATCTAAGGGATTGGCTAATTCTGTCTGGATGCAGATCAGTGATCTCTGTCACTGCAAGCATCCACAACGCCAACCTTTATACACACAGTCACATTCTGCCCTATTTTTTTTTTCCCCCTTCGGTTATCTCTGATTTAACACGTGCTATTTAACTTCCTCTTGTCAAGCCACAGTTACATCCTCTGAGTGCAGCCCGTGTTAGTCCTGTCTGCTGCCTTGTTGCTATCACTACCAGTCAGGTGTCACAACAGTTTCCCTGACAGGTTTGTGCTTCCACTGTGGTGTCTAGAAAAGCAGCAACAGGAATCTGAACATCCTGTTCACCAGCTCTCTCTTCAGATTTACACAAAGCTGCTCGACTCCCTTTGTCAAGCGCTTTCGTAGAGACACAACATGTCTGAAGGTTTTTGAAAATGTTTCCAAGGCACGCTTACATGTGGCTCGTGTATCATGACCTCATTATGTTTATCAAGGTCAGTTTCTTCTCATGTACCAGCATTTCAGTAATAAACCACATAATTAAAAGTCTGATTGATTTTCTATTTCACTGTTCTGGAAACCACATTATTATTTTCTATAACAGCGCGTGGATGGCAGTACAGTCTGAACTCTATGCAGCCCATCTCTGCATAAAACAGCACATGTAAAGTGGCCTTGGGAGCGAGGGATCTATAAATACAAGACGGTACATCAGATCTTGTGTAGTACAAGACCAGTTTTGCGGTGACTAAAATAGGACTTAGTGCTTGTGTATCCTGCTTTTAATGTTATCGCTGCCTACCAGCCCTACTTGCCAGGTACTCGGTGAATGTGTGTACTAAATGTGACTCTCGCTGAATACAGATGAAATAGGATTCAGTTCTCGGAACAGAAACACCCCCACAGCAATGCCTGTGATATCCCGTATTTTGTGCCATATGATCCACTCTTCCATTTGGTCAGTCTTTTTTACTTTTATTTTAGCATGCATGTAAAATGGAGACTACATTTAAATGTTGTAATCTTAAAATATAAGCACCATTGTACATGCAAAAGTTATAGATTTTCTTCAACTGTAGAATAGACAAAAAGATAAAGATATAACTACATGACAACATGAAACGTTAGAAGGATTTCATGGAGGAAAAAATCTGTTAGCTGGAAGTGTAATTTAACTTTGGAATGAAGTTTATTTTATTGTATTCCACTTAATTCCAATCAGAAGCACAATAAAGCTGTTTTCAGCATTTGCCAGCAGAGGGAGATGCTGTTCTTTCACATCTCTCCTGAAGTCCATCAACACTGAACAGACTGCAGACTGGAGTATCATTGTTTTCAACAAGCGAGCTTACAGTGGAGCTTATGTTATAACTGAAGGCTTTGGTGTTTTATTCAAAACTACAAAAGCAGTCCTCTAAATGGAACCACACTCCCTTTACCTTGAAAAATGTTTTGAGTTGCGTCCTTTCAGCCAAGTGATGCAGGATAACTATTGGATTGACAGCATTATGTTGACAATAATTGGCCATTTAGCAGCTATAAGCACCTTATTCTGTACAGTTTTATGCAAAGGCTTCTGCACCCTCTGAGCAGAGTACGTATGTTACTGATTTTTAAGCGATCGTTTTTAACGTCTGTTTGCTGCAGCAGTTGTATTTACTTCTTTTCACTTCAAAACCCACCGAAACATGTGATTTGCACAGGGGTGCCCAAACTGGCATACAAATTTGTGTTTCTGCTCTATGCATGATGTAGGGTTTCTGCAGTAAGAGGGACTGGAGTGGGCCGGATGTGTTTACCTTATCAATGAAATGCATGGCTTCACATTCCTCAGATGGCTTATATAAATTCTACAAACTGACTGGGAGCTCAAGTAAAAGCCTCAAATGAGCTTTAAATGCACTTTAAGACCTCAAAAGGTTCTCTAACCTTCAGATATATTGCTTGTAAACATTAGAGCAGTTATTGATTAAAAGTGAGGCTGCAGATTATACCCTTACATAATCTGAGGCTGTGACCGGCTCAGTGCTGTAGTCCTAAAGATTTGAGTCATCAGCCAAGTCAATCATTTTTAATAAGCTTTACAAAGTTGACTCAAATTAAAACTTCTGAACAGTGTAAACAAAGTGTTTGAGTCATTCTTCATGGATTTAATAAAGAATATGGAAATCAAGGATTTTTTTTTTTTCATTTTGCAGCTGTAAAGGTCAGGACAGACTGTTCAGTGCTGGATGACAACCTTGCATAGTTCCAGCAGCCCTAGCAAAATTAAACTTCATATGATGCATATCTTCATATCTACATCTATATATGTGGTATATATTTTTATACACCCACATATCTGTATATTCAATCCTGCCAGTTTTTTATCCATGGTTGAATGCAGGATAAACTTCATTGCATAGGAATGTATTCATTATATTTGAATGTCATCTTTTATTTATTACTAATAAAAAAAGCGGTGACATTTGTGTAACCTTTAATTTCATAACAGTGCAAAACAAAATAGAAAACTTTTACATAGCACTAGTTAAAGGCTGTAATAAAATGTTATTTATCCTGCAGACTGCTTGCACGCTTATTTAAACTACCCCCAAATTGTACTGCTTAGGTGATAATTTAATATTGGAGGGGAAACTCTAACACAGATTTCCTAAATCCAAGCTTACATTTGAAACTAGGAGAAAAAGCTAGTCCTGTGAGTGTGTATTGTAAATCTTAGAGTTTCTGTAAAGCACATGTTTAATATAAGCTGGTGAAGTATACTTCAGACATGGGTGGCATCTGACTTTATTATGACACTTTAAAGACTATATTTATCAAAAACCCTAAATCTCAGAGCAGTGATGTTGGACTCTAAGGACAGGATGTTTGTTAGCAATGAAAAAGGAAAGAACTGGATTTCCTACCAGTTGATCACTTGGTTAAATATTATAGATGCATAATATGTCGGTGACCACATCAGTATCTGCCGATCTTAGTGTTTTTTTCTGATATATCAGTTTGGGTCTGATGAACAAATTTAGCCGATGTGAAAACCTGATGATTGTCTGACATTAGTGCCTTTGTCTCTACATTTGATATTGCTGCTGTTTCACAGATGTTTTTACTTCAGTGGTCCTGGACCTGAATGTTAAATATGTTTTACTTTTGCTACGCATTAAAGAAGAGTATGTGGTCTAATTTGGTATGGGCTTCTTTTGAATAGTTTACACATTCTCACAGTGCTAACTTATACTTATTTTTCGGTGTGAACAAAAATTAATATCGGTTATCAGCTATATCAGAAATCTAACTATCGGGTATCGGTATCGGCCAGAAATGTTAATATCGTGCCTCACTGGTAAATATTGTTCAAACCATCATTTAGTAAGGGTGACTTTTGTGGAAATATGCACAGAATTCATAACAGTTTAAGAATACTTCCATCTAAATAAATGGTGCAGCGACACAAACGAGAAGCTGTTTGGTTTGGACTGTTTGTGCCAACACCACAGCTGGATCAAGCTGATGTGGAATATATATATATGTTGCTGTCAGACTGTGGAATAGGATTAACTGTCTGTTAAGGGGGTTGTTCCTCTCAATGGGGACCCACCTTGTATCACACTGGGGGCGGCTGGTCCACTGATGGGTCCTGGACAAGACAAATTGGGGGCCGCTGTGAGAGAGGGAGGCCTGTTTTTGTCCCGGCCTGTGAGTCGGGATGGGCGGAGGAGCCTGGAGGAGGCGGGGCCTTTGTTTGTTCGTGTCTCGGCTGGCATGAACAAAGGGTCCTGTAGTAGTGGAACAGAGGTAGCACCGTCCTCCTCGCAAATGACATTTAAAACGCCTAGCTGGGAGTTGCAAATCGAGCAGAACCGGGGGAACTAGCGGGCGCGTTTCACTTCCCGTCGCTTGCCGCCTTGTTTCGGATCGCGGGAGGTGAAATATCAGCTGGAGCTCTTCCCCCCCCATCCTGCCGCTCCGGCTAGCAGCGAGGCTAGCTGGCTAGGAACACCGAGCCGAGGTGTTGAGCCGACACCGACGTTTCTCTGCAGGTAAACTCACACTCGCAAGACTTGAGGGACACCTCTGGCTCACGACGAAGTGGGTGTAAACAAGCCGTGTGTGTTGGAAGTGAGCAGCGGTCATGTTGGTCATTTAGCAACTGGGTTAATAGCTTAGCAATGGCATCCGTCTTGTGCAAATGAATGCGGCCCTGCGGCTCAGTTTACGCCTGCTCCCTGCTGTTAAAGTGACTCATTTAAAAATGTACACTCTACATGCTCACACACGGAGGGATAAAAGCGACACGAGTGTGCGTTGGGGGGGGAAGTCTTTGCACATAGCTGTGGATGTTTTATTGGCTGTGGGCCATCACTCTGGATGCAGCTCCATTGTTTGCAATGAACAGTTGGGGCGGACTAAACTGCACCAAAGTCTCGTTATGTAAAGTTAACCTTTGTCGGAGTGCTCCTGCATCACGGGCTCTCATCCGATCTTAATCAGGTTGCTGCGTTGAAGGATGCTTAAAAGGCTGGAGTCATTCATCTCTTATTTGTCATGTGGACCTGAGCTGAGGCTGCTTCACTGATCCCGTCTTTAATTACGATGTTATGTTTGGGTTGAGCACTTGTAATTGGATACATGCTTCTGTCAGGCTCAGTCCTGCAATCTACGTTTGTGCATTGGTTTAATGTTTAAATGATGCGTGTTGGTGTTTATTACATGCCAATATAGTCTATGTGTCAGCATTTATTTTATTTTTTTGCAGATGGCAGCTTTGCTTAATAAAATATAGACTTTATATATCAGAAAAAGGAGGTATCCTCTATTTGATTGGCAGCAAACATTGTTTTTATGAACTTGGAATTGTGTGTATTTTTTTATTTTTTGTTTTGCACAATGCTGGTGGATCAGCATCAGATTAAACAAAGACTTATCATATGGGGCTGAATGCAGTCTGGGGCTAATGGCTGGCGTTGGGAGATGGGTGGGTGTTTAAGTCACAAGCATTGTTGGGTGCCCCTGAGCAGGTTCACCTCCATAGTGATGGGGAGGAGAAGGTGACCTGCCATGACTCTCTTGGGTATACAGAGGAAGGAGTGAATGAAGGAGGAGTTGTGATAGAGAACAACTCATGCCTTTCTCTCTCCGTTTGTATTCGCCTTCACTTTAATCACCACTGTTTGTGCAGTCGTCTGCCTGCGGGGCTCCCATTAGTTCACCAAAAGTGAATATATTAATTTTACATCCCTGTTAGGTTTTGGTCCTGCATTTAGAGCGGTCCATGTTGGGAGTCCATGTTTCTCCCCCTGCTGGTTTTAATTAGGTACAGTCACCCTTTCATATGCCAAGCTTACAGTGGCCGACTGTTGGGCACAAATCGAGTCAAATTAACATTACGCTGCCTTCAGGTGCCTGTTTGGGAACGCCATTTAAAAGCACAGCCTGCATAAACATTATTAAATGAACAAGTGCTGGAACGGAAAAAGGATTTCTGCTGTCTCAATGCTGCTGATGTCTGTTTATCGGGATTATGAATGTATCAGCACCACATGCATCCAGTTCTTGTAGTTAACGTCACATTTTTCTGTGTGTGAAAAGTAGGGGTAGCAGGAAGGGTAGTGGTGATGGGCCAGTCTGGGTCAAATTTCCAACGGCTGTTTTCTTTTTCCCTCTAACATCTCAGCCTACTCTCGTCTGCTTGTGAATACGGTATCTTTGCTCAGACCTAATTACACGAGGCTGCTGTTTGTGTCAGATTACATGTTTTTCAGCCCTGCGTTCTTTGAGCATGAATGCATTATCTGGGCAGACAAGGGTTAACAACAGCCAGGATATGGAGTGGGGGGATGGGTGGAAGCGGCAACTAGAGGGGGAGACAAACACACAGAGTACTGAGCATGGTTTGGATCACATGGAGCTGTATGCAGAGAAGAGGGTTCCCTGTGATAATACAAGTGGTACAAAAACACAAAGAGCATGCCAGACTTTCTTTTTTTTTTTCTTCCTTGCATCCCTCCATCTCCCTGATTGTTTTCTCAGATTTCTGCAGGCTAATAAACATCGCTGTATTTTTTTTTTTCCTCCTCATGATGATTTGTTTTCTTGTCCATTTAGCAGATTGAAGACGCATTAGATAATGAAAGCAGCAGGAAATTGTTTTGGCAGCGTGCTTTTATTTCAGCAAATCTCAACAAAATCATCCAACACTAGATTGCTTAGATGATGCTGTGATTTGAATGAGCTAAATCCAAAGTAATCTAAATCTCCTTTAATTCTCTGCTCTTTTTTTTCCCCCCTCCTCCTCCTCCTCTGCCTCCTCTGCCCTGGGTTTTTGTGCAGGCTGTTCGTCAAAGTCATTCAAGCTGTACTCTCCTAAGGAGCCCCCCAACGGCGGCAGCTTTCCCCCCTTCCACCCAGGCGCTATGCTGGACAGAGATGTGGGGTAGGTCTGGGTTATTCTGTAGTGTGATGCTCTGTGGAAAGGAAAATATGTCTAAAAGTAGGGCACTTTTTGCATGAATTCGATCAATAAAGCTGCTTTCATGTATGTCAATATGTCGACTGAGGAATAGATGTGTATTTTTAGACGCTGACTGTGTTTTTTTTAAAAATAATAATCCATATTGCTGTTTTATGGTCTGTCTCTTGTATGTTTCGTTTCTTTAGATTGAACTGTTTGAACACTCCGTCTTTGATAGTGATATTGGAATAAAATCAAATGAGACCACACAGAAGCAGATTGATATTAAATGTGTGACCTTTAACGGCTGCATTCAACTTAACTAAAAGTCTCACCCTAATACATAGTGTCACCTTACTTGTTAAACACACACTTGTTTGTTGCAAGCGGTGAATATTTAAAGCTTTTTCTCCCCATGCCTTCCCGTTCTTTTGTGTCGTGGATTATCTGAAACTCTGCGTTAGTCATGTGAGAGTAACAGGGCCTTGAAATCAATAACTGCCTCTGTAATTATTTCCCTTGCAGGCCTACACCCATGTACCCTCCCTCATACATGGAGCCTGGCATGGGGTGAGAACACTGTCACTTGAATAATTCACACGTGATTGTGGTGTTTGTTCTAGGTCACAGATCATTTATGAAGTGTTCATTATGTTTCATCTCCATTTATGTACAAAACTTAGGCATAGTATTTGCATTTAGTTAACTCTGATTTTAGGCTGCTGTGGGCTTATAGCATTTGGTTTTCACCGTGGGAGTGGAAATCCACTGAAGCAGCTCCAAGTGCAGAGTGATGAATTGCCCCTGTTTTCTGTTTCAGGAGACCCACACCGTACGGGAACCAGACAGATTATCGGATATATGAGCTGAACAAAAGATTACAAAACTGGACAGAGGTGAGCGTTACTTTTTCATTCACGCAGAGAGCAAAAGGAACTCAACACCAAACTGTTGCTGTATCAAAACGCATGATCAGCATTTCATTTTCAGTCGGCTGTGATTAACGTCTATAATGCTTCACTCTGCAGCTCTTAACAACTGTTTCCGTGTTTTCAGATTTCCCTCCCAGCAGCTGTTTGTGTGTAGCTAATGGTGCTGGGGATTTTGTGGGAAATTAAACCAGAGAACTCACTGACTTAATTTACATTCAAGCTCTAATAGGATTATCTGATCAACCTGACTAAAACGTAATTGGAGTGCCAACTGTTTGCATGCAGAAACGTGCAAATGAATAGTCACAACAAACCTTGCACGCAAATACATGCACACTAACCTTTGTACGTTGTCGGAGTTCAAAATGACAATTATATTTTGCAGCCAACAGTGCCTAAATGGCAGTATGCGTTATTTATAAAATTCATCCTCAACTTCCGTTTAAACGGCTTTTCTTTATTGCACCAGTAACCAAACTCTCTTCAGCAAATGTTTAGAGCCACTGAGTGACGCCCATGAAGCATGCACATCTATTCTCATGTACTCAGAGTACTTCCACTGGTTCACACTCACTAGTGTGACCAGACTGTGGAGATAAGAAGTTTAAAGGTTATAGAAGTGGTACATTTGAGGAAATAACGATCACCACTTCTTCTTTGTAAGCAATTTATCTATATTTATGGGGTTTGTTTATGCAAGTGATCTTATGTGGCCGCCTCACTTCTCTCTAATGAACACAGTTTCTTTCCAATGAATGTGAATCATTTTAACAACCTTATGGGCTGACGATATTAAGAAATGCAACTGAAAACTGAGAGGAATGCTTCTTGCTCTGCTTTCAGGACTGTGACAATCTCTGGTGGGATGCCTTCACCACAGAGTTTTTTGAAGATGACGCCATGCTCACCATCACTTTCTGTCTGGAAGATGGTCCCAAACGATATAGTAAGGGAGAAAGTTTAGCTGTTTGTGTGTATTATTAGTTTGTAATGACAAATATTAAGTCAGCTTGTTTTATTTTACTAATTCACTGTGTATAATGTATATCTTAATTTTTTATGCATATACTTTCTATTGTTGCAACCGCACCCACGTTCCTTATGTGGGTCATTGAGGTTTAATTTATTTGTCGTTTTGCCTGCAGCCATCGGCAGGACGTTGATTCCTCGATACTTTAGAAGTATTTTTGAGGGGGGTGCCACTGAGCTCTTCTACGTTTTGAAGCACCCGAAGGAGTCCTTCCACAGTAACTTTGTGTCTCTCGACTGCGACCAGTGCACCATGGTGACCCAGAACGGCAAACCTATGTTCACACAGGTACAGTTACCTGATTAATGTCACGGTGAATAGTCTTAACCCATCATTTTCTATTAGCCTGTCAGTGTCTGACCCTTGATCTCTCCTGTGGATTAGGTTTGTGTTGAGGGCCGTTTGTACCTAGAGTTCATGTTCGATGACATGATGAGGATCAAGACGTGGCATTTCAGCATCAGGCAACACAGAGAAGTCCTACCAAGGAGCATTTTGGCTATGCATGTGAGTTCCACAGGAAACAAACCACACACTCACAGACAAATTTGCATACTGTACATATACTTACTCATCACACCTTTCCTTTCTAACACCGTCATCCAGGATCCCCAGATGCTCGATCAGCTGGCTAAAAATATCACCAGATGTGGGCTGTCTAATTCCACGCTCAACTACCTCCGTGTAAGCACATTTTCTTATGATAGCTGATAGGAGTTATTGTTTTTTTAAAAAAAATATATCAGTTACTGAGTTAACCTTAACTGCACATAAAACAACTTGCTAACAGTGCTTTGTGCCACTTTGGTTCTTCTCTTTATCTTCTCTTCAGCTATGTGTGATATTGGAGCCCATGCAAGAGTTGATGTCCAGGCATAAGACCTATAGCTTGAGCCCCAGAGACTGTCTGAAGACTTGCCTCTTCCAGAAGTGGCAAAGAATGGTAGCACCTCCAGGTAATGCCTTTTAAAATTGCCAGTGGCAACTACGGCAGAGTCACCCTTAAGTTCTTTAAGCTGTTGTGTTCCCAGAAACAAATACAGCTGCAGCTGCATTACAGTTTCTTATCTGCAGATGACCTAGAAACTGCAGATTTATAGAGATTTAAATACTTGATTATGAAACCCATCTTCCCCTCGTTTCTCTGTTTGTAGCTGAGCCAGCCAGACAAGCTCCAAACAAGCGGCGGAAAAGGAAGGTGTCCGGTGGAAGCACCGTGAGCTCTGGCGGAGGCAGCAATAACAACAGCAACAGCAAAAAGAAGAGTCCAGCCAACAGCTTTTCACTCTCCAGCCAGGTACCTGTAAGCATTACATCTACTTGACCTCTTTCTGAACCTCCCAGCTTCAGCTGAGCAAGGCACTGGAGAATAAGACAGAGGGCAGAAGGGTTAGAAAGAAAGGCAAAGAGGTTATAAAGTTATTTGTGGGTGTAGAGGGTGGGAGCTGGAGCAGTTAGTCTGTTTAGGAGTAGGTATAACAGTAGGTCAGGATGGAGTTAGCTTAGGGAGGCTTCTGGAGGTAGGGGTTGGCTTTAGGTGGGGTGGGGAGGATAGGGGCTGATTTCTGTAATTCTATGCAGGATGAGTAGATTTAGTTAGCAGACCCCTTCATGTGAACCAGTGATGGGCAGTCCCTGGTCCTCTAGGGCCACAGGTTAATGGGTTAATATAGAGGAGGTACAAGTGGCCTCCATCTCTGAGTAGTGCTTAATATATTTTGGGGCCATGGGGGAGGGTTACCTTGCTCTGATTTCCAGTAGGACAGACAGGTTTTCTCTCAAAATCCGCTGTATTAACTTGGTCTTAGAGTTACCACTGAGTCTATCAGAGCACACGATTCACACAGCACTGCTGTCTTTGCTTACCTGGTTGCTTGATTGAGCGAACGAGACCCGAGGTGGAATGAAAACCCCTGTGATGCAGCACTCAAGGATCAGGGATGCCCACTGCTGGCCAGTAGGAAGGGCCCCCTTGGTTCTTGGAACAGGGGCAGGGAGTCACATGGCCACATGGACTGCTGAACTGTCGGGGTAGACGCCCCAATAACACATAGTCTTGTTGTGATTGAGTTCAGAAGAGAGGACACAAATACCTTAGGATTGTAATACTCGGGGTCTCTTGGTCCCCAAGAGCTTGTATTATTATCATAATGCATTTCATCAGGTAGGATTAATTTGTAACACTAGTATTGGACCCAGCTAGATTGCACCTTGACGATAAGCCAAAAAAACCATCAACAGCAGAGTTAGCAACGCGTCCGTGCAGCCAGTCATTCCGCGCACCCCCCTGTATTATGGGGATAATATGTACCGGCCCTTGCTGTCCCCTTTAGGATGTGATGATGGTGGGAGAGCCCACTCTGATGGGAGGGGAGTTTGGTGACGAGGACGAGCGTCTGATCACGCGGCTGGAGAACACGCAGTACGATGGGGCGAATGGCCTGGAGGATGAGGACAGTTTCCACAGCTCGCCTGCACTGGGGGCACACTCGCCCTGGAACAACAAAGCTCCCTCCAGTCAGGAGAGCAAGAATGACAACTCCCAGTCGTCCCAGTAGAGTGCTGAGGTCCCAGCCAGCCCCTTTTTTTCAGTGCTTAAAACCTACTGGGATCCACCTGAGCCAACACACTAGGGAGAGGAGTCAGGGAGGGTGGCCTCGAGCACTTGTGTTCAGTTACCTTTTTGTTTGTTTTGTTTCGTTCTGTTCTGATGAAGGCAGAGTGGTTAGTGAAAGGGATAACAGCTGATGGACTGTTAGATCATTGCTGTCACATGAAGGGAAGCTCAGAAGAATCCCACTCTCGCTCCGTCACACTGTTGCACATGACCAGTGGTGCTCAGCCTTGGCCCTTGTCTCCTCGGCTCCAGTCAGGCCTCTTAGAGGTGTGGTGGTGAGACTGGCGGGGTGGCGGTGTGTGTGCGTATGTGTTTACCCCCCTCATCATCGCTCACCACGGTGTTTGAGCCAAAGTTGGCGTGTCCTGTTGTCCGAGTGCTCGCCATGGCGACCATGTCAGTGGGTTCTTGTTCCAACCTCGGGTCTCTCAGGCGTGCGTTTTCCTTGACGACGCACCTCGTTGTTTCTGTTGTGCTCATGTCACAGGGAAGAAATGCTTAGCTTTTATTTAACATATTTTTTTGCAGGCTGCAGAAAACTGTGTGCACTCTTAGCATCGAAATTTAACGTTCAGTTTTTAAAAACTCAATCATTTGTTTTTGTAGGACCTGGTTGGAACAAAAACCTGTACAGTGCCGGAGCTTGAGGACCGGAGTTGAGAACCACTACGCTAAATGTTAAACACACACACACAAACACTGACACACACACCCAGACCAGTGCACACACTAACACACACTGTCACCCACACCTTCAGCATAAAGCATTGAGGTACTGGAGAGAGGTGGTACGCAGCATGTCTGGACCAGAGCACCAGACGCTACAGAAGTGTGTTTTTATTTTCTATGTTTTAGACTTGTTTTGATTTTTTTTTTATTTTTGTAAACAATTTCTAAAAATAAACAGACAAGCAAGCAAACAAAAAAACACCCCAGAATATTCTTTGCACTGTTTTCCACTATTAACGGCAATCTATTTTTCTTATGAATTGACGGTGTATTTTTTTTCTTTTCTATTATTGCTAATGTAAGAACTGTAAAACATCTGAAACCTGCAGTATATTAATGTATAAGTATTGCTGTTAGATCATTCTTATTGTGATGGTAATAACTTTCATGTAAGTCTATGCTTGATATAAAGTCATCCATCCATGTCAGACATCATGCTGTCATCAGGCCCATTAGCTTCAGTGCTAAGGGGAGATCAGTGCTAGTGTTTTAATACTGTACTACATCTTGTTTGACGCGCGTCCGAAGCGGCGCTGCTGAAAACCAGTTTCCCCCTTGCTAAATTTCCATCAAGCACCTGGTTCGGATCTGTCGTCTTATCATTGCAGAAATGTTTGCTTTGTCTCCAAACCTCTTATCTTGGGGTCCTCTCTTCAGAGATTATAATAACAGAAAACTTCTCAAATTTGCTACTCGAAAAATATTTTAAAAACACATTTTGACAGGATTGTAAAATAATGAAAAAAAAGACTTTTGTATTAACTTAAGTTTCCCAGAAATGTTTTTAATTACAATTAAGAAAGCTGCAGACCAAGGAGCTACATGTAAAGATTCTTATACTGATTACACTGCGCTGTTTTATGTTTTATGATGAATCATTTTGTTGGCTTTACTCCTCATGTTTGTGTCTGTGCTTGTATATTTTTAGGTAGTAATTTCTGTAAAAGTTATTCTATGTATTCCTCCCTAGAACTATGAGAAACTCAATCTAATGTAAAGAGATGAAAAGCCTCTTAAAAGTTTTTTTTAAACGTGATTTTTAATGGTACAATCACTGATAAAAGAATTTTGCCCTCATTTTAGCAAACTGTATTTATTTTTCTATGTACTGACATTCTGTTTAGGTCCAACCCACCTGTACAATATTCATGATAATACATGGAGGAATTTGTGGCGCTGCTCAGTCTGTTAATGCTAATATCCTTTTTGTTTTTTCCATTTCCTTGTGTTCTTGGAGATCTGTATTGTCACATGAAGGAGATATTCAACAGCCATTTTAAGCTGCTGTAGGTTTTATCAGCTGTTTGAAAATCAGTATATAACCACATTTAGCTTATTTCAACAAATCATTAACCTCCAATTTGTTGTTTTTTCCTCCTTGAAGCTCTTATGATACTGTACATGTGAAATAATGGTGCAATCTTTAGTGAAATGACACTGCTGCATCATGGTTTTCGGTGTAAAAGTTGTCCAATTCAAAGGCCTCAGCAGCACTCAAATGCCAGCTGCTAGATATTTGATAGTAATTTCCAGATTCTCCCAGCAGGGGTCTCCCTGAGCACCAGACTTGAGCAGCCCGTCAGAAATTCCTCCATCATTATACCTGGCAGAAATGCCGTCTGTAAATCCACACCGAGCTGCAGGCTGTCGTGTTTCGATCCTTATTCATTGTCTCCAGCACCCCTAGTCTACTTTCGTGGTGTATCAGTTCAGCAGGCGGACTCAGAATTGAATCTAGGGGCAACTTATCAACACAATGTGTTTCCTAAGTTGACATAATTTAGGAAATATAAGGGTGTGTGGGACGGAGATGAAATGGCAATGCACCCATAGCTGGCTCTTGTAGCACCTCATCATAGGGGTGATTTTATATCTATATTTTTTTGCCAGGTTTCTGTCATTGATAATTCATGTATGGTATCAATAAAGATGAATTTTCACTGAAAAAATGTTGTCTTCATTGGTGGTGATTCTTTCTGGGGGGGAAAGAGAACTGCACAAAAGTCCTAGAAATCCTAAAATAGCTCATTGATGCTTGCTCTGTTAATCATGTGGGAACGATTAAGTTTGCTTTGGTAACTCTGACCTCAGTGGATTCTTAAATCACTAGCTCTTGCAAACAAAACAAACAAGGCAAGTTTATCGTGGAATGCAAAATGGCTACAAGAGCAGTGCCCAAGGGTTGGTTTTCTGAATTTTTTTTTTAATCTGAAGCAAAGTTTGAAGGGGAATGTTAGTGAGACACTGCAGCTATTGTTGGTGAGGTAAACACACAGTTGTCTAGGATGCATTTAGTGTGACTCATTAGCCATTTTTCTTTTGAAAGGAACTTATTCATTCTTTCTCAGGAAGGGGCAGAACTAGCATTAAAAGGTGGCAGCCGCGTTGAGTGGCAGTTACAAAAAGAGGAAGGGCAGCTAATGGCAGGGCAGCTGTGACGTCAGTTTATGTGATGTATAGTCAACAAAGCACAGCTAAGTATTTGTTTTTTATGGCTAAACTTGTAAGTCAAACAAGAAGCTCAGATGTAGGCCATCGGTCACACGAAGAAGCAAAATGTGGACTTGAGCAGCTATTTGTGTACATGTACTGCACAACTAAGGTGTGTGACTCAGGTAAAAGCATTTGATCCAAGCCGTTTCGTAACAGATGCACATTGTAAGTGTAACTCTGGATAAACTTGTGCCAGAAAATTCTCTGTATTCACTGCAATTTCAATATTTTTTCCGCTCTGACATGGTTCTGCACAGTTCAATTTTGTAGCAAATCAGCTTGAACCGGCAAAGAAGAAGTGTCACTTGGTCACACTCCAATCCCCTCACAGTGCTTCTTTAAATCATGAATGTGTTTACATGGTTGACGCCAGTGGAGGATGATGCCCTTATCGCAACGCTCGCATAACAACCAGTAGGAGTCGCCAGTGTTGCGATGAGGACGTGATCACTTGCAGGCTTCCCACTGGGAGTTGGCAGAGAAAAGAGCTCTGTGTATTAGCAATCTGAACTGAGAGAAGGAAAAAAAGAAAAAAGGGGAAAAACATATTGTCAAGCTGCCCGTTGGAGCATATTTTTACATGGAGATTCCTGTGACCGTGGGGTTATGTTATTTTAGAAACACAGGCTGCGCTACAAGGCCTGGGTAGCCCTCATGTGCCAGAGCCACATGATAAGCGTTTTTTGGTAGATTAAAGGATCAGCTGGTAATTGATGACTTCGGGGGGTTGAGGTAAATCAGGGACAAGCGACTGTGCACCTGATAATGCAAACAACAGAAGAGGATTGATGCTCTTTTGGCTTTATTTCCGTCACTGGAGTTACTAAAAAGATATTAGATTCACATCCATTGTACAGTTTTGTTCCTTTTTTTTTTTGCAAAGTGTTTTCTTTCTTCTCTATAACAGAGTCCAGACTTCTAGAGTTTCTTTGTAGGATTATACTTCCCTGCAGCTTGTGGACCAACTTCACAAACCAGACCTCGTAGACTGGGGTGAAAGAATAGTCATGGTTTCGTCTGACCTGTCAAAGAAAAGAAGTAGGTTATAGACGCACAATTGGTTGTTCTCCCAAAAAATAATTTAATATTCAGTCTGTGAAACAATGATTATATTCTTGTCCTGCCTTGCTCAGCTGCAAGGTTACACTGTATATCATTGTCCCTGACAGGCTGATAACGCGAGGAAAATATCATCTATCAGCTGTTGCCAGTAATATGCTAGTAAGATGACATATTTTTGAGAATTTCTTGGCAACCTTTAACTGTTTTCACATGTTCTCACAACTCCCTTTCCCCAGTGATTCCTTCCCAGCTATCTTGTCCTGCATGTTGGGGCTGTTTGTCATCTGGACACCACACCACTGCAGATTTACATGGATTTACGTGGAGCCAGTTTGCATGACTGGAAATTGCGTTTTTAGCCAGCAAGGACATTTTTTTTTATTATCAAGATAATAACTTCCTTATTTTCACTCTTTTTTAAAAACATTTGAGTTTATTTTGCTCATCTTTGTTCCTCCACGAAGCAAAACCATCTGCGTATTTTCCTACCTACTTCCCTAACTGTTACCGGCACACTAACTTGGACAAACCTCTCTCTGTTCACCTTGAAGACTTCCAGGATCCAGGAAACAAAATAAGTAAATCCCATCCTGCTGATGGTAACCCTGTCATTTATTTACTTCATCTCTTACTCCTACATGTCACACCCTCCCTCTCTCTCCCTATTTCTCTCTTTAAGACCCTCCCTTCCTCCCTCCTCCGATCCGCTTTCTCCCTCCCTCTCTTCTCAGTGCCAGTGTTCTGCAGGCCAGCACACAGTCAAGTTGACAACAGGAGCAGAGCATATCAGATTTCTTCTTCAGGACTAAGAGTCAAGCGCCCCTCGCTGAATTACTGGGGACCAGAGCAGCGTGACTGTCCTCCCGTGTCTGGCCAAGAAAGGTGAGCTGACTGAAAAGAGACCCTGTTTTCCTCTGTGTTTCTGTTGCTTCTTTTCTCACTTTGATCTCACTTTTTCACCTTCTCGCTCACGTTCTCACCTCAGATAGTGCCTGGGAAATGAGCAGCTGCTTTTCAGAGTCTCGTGGAAACGAAAAATCCTCAAACTGCTGTGTGTTTGGTTCACAACAGTGTCTTCATAGGACACCGACAAACACAGGCAGACTGCTTGGGGCTTTAAAAGAAGTAGATGTCTTCAGTTAGTTGGCGGTGAAGTTATTTGCTTACGAGAGCTGCACCTTAGAAGCTTACAGTTGTTCAAATATTACCCTTCAGTTTATTGTAGGTAAAAGATGGCTTCTCCCTGATGAATGTTTTATAGTCGACAGTTCTCACAGACGAGCATGGTTTGGGATAAACAGAGGTGATGCAGGTGTCTGAGGCAGTTACAGCTTATCTGTGCGTTTACACTATTAACACGGCACAGACAGGTTATTTGAATCTTTTATGAGTCATCGAATTTTTCCAAACTTTTCCTCTAACTTTTAAATGTCAGCACTTCCTATACTCCATGACATAAAGTCTTAAGATAAGTATGGTATGAAACAGGCGCTTAAAGGGCACGGTTCCTCTCAAAAAATGACTGAACAGGCGTTGGCTTAACATTTAGATTTCCCATTTACTAAAGGCCATTGTTGCAGTTCTTCTGCAAAAATAGCAACAGTTCTTTTTTTACATTTTTTTTTTTTTACCCAGTCACCATGCTGCAACGAACCGCGCTGCGACCTCTTTCTGTGTGACTCAGTCTGTGGGTTCCAGTGAGTTTCATCTCCAATCTCTAATTCTCATGCCTTATATGAGTGTACCATTGTGTTCGGTGTTCTTTGTCTTGTTTCCAGATGCATCATGACAGAGCTGGTGCCATAAGTTGATGAATCTATAAGCCAGCTTTCTCCTGCCGAGTCTTTTTCCCAAACATGGGGTTATGTGAGAATATGAGGGTCTGGAGGCGGCAGGGCGGCGCCGCAGCGTTCAGGGATGTCGTGGGAGTGATGCTGCTGCTGCTGATGGGGCTCGGCTCGGCCCAATCCGTCCCTCCGCAGGCGGCGTGTCAGGGAGCCGCGGCCCCGCAGAACCTCAGCCAGCCTGAGTATGAGGAGACGGCGAAGGAGGACACCGGAGTGGGCTTTATGGCCCCTCTGGTCCAGTCTTTCCTCCACACAATCCAGCCTAACCCCTTTCCTGCAGGTCAGTATCATCACTCAAAAGTTGTCTTGAGTCTCTGCTGTGATGCTCTGATGCATAATACCTTGTCCCATTTCCTGCTGACAGCTCACAGGTGCAATTTAAATCACATTAAAATCCTTTGGTTTTTACGCTCTGTGCTGGGTTAGATTTCCCTACGGGTCCAAAGTTGAGACACCACTTGGTCTGTCACGCCAAAACAGAAAAGATGACGAATCTGGTTAATCAGTCAGTTAATGGAGATTCTTACATTTCACCCAGTAAGCCATTGACGTTTATGGCCTTTTTATTGGTTTCCAGCCAGCGTTTCCTGACTCTGACTTGTGTCCCACCTGTGCTCTTTTGTCTGATGCTGTCATGTGTTGCAACTGCTCCATATACCCTTCTCTATTTCACATATTACTTCCTACTCAGTATTGATTTCAGAAAAGAAAACAAAAGAAGAAAAAAAAAAACCCTTGCGACCTTTGACCAGTTCAATCTCATTGTAAACTCAGGGACAGTCATTGGATCTAGTCAACTGAATATAGATTTTATGAGCTGATTTCAGGCAATAGGCACTGAATGACGCACAAAGAGGTTGCAAAACCTTTTATGTCAACTTTTTATGTAGGTGTCAACAAGAGTTCAAACACAGAATCTTTTATCTCTCTGTGGTAATATAACGAGGGAAGTAGATTGAAGCCGAACTGTGAGATTTTCTTCAAAACAAGCCATTAACACTGATGTCATAGCTGAATAAATGTAAACGTGAAAGAAAGAGGAAATGCAAAGCAAGGAGGTAAAATGCAAATATACAGAACATTAAAGGCAGGCTGTTATCTGATGCGTCACGGACAGGTGGTGAGGCTAGAAAAATGCCTGAACAACTTGTCTTTTTTTTTTTTAATATAATTTCTACAACAACAGGGTTCAGTGGAACCATCAACTACTGGCTTTGTGTATTTTTTTCGTTGTAAATCTTGCCAGAAAGCTGTCCTGGTTTCTTATTATCCAGGAGATGGAGGTGTCAGATTTCCACTTTTACAATAGCCAAAGATTGAAATGTTTGTACAAGGAACAAGACACGTTGTCCCAGCTTTTGTACATGAATGACTAGGACAGAGACCAAGAACACAAAGTAGCAAAAGCAACTCCTGTCCTTTAGAAAAATGTGTTCCCATGCCTTCTTGAGCCACATTTTGTTTTTCTCTTCCATTTCTCTATAGATTTAATCCTGAAATTCATCCGGAGCTTTAATGAAGCGGTGTCAGATCAAGAAATAATCAAAGAAGTAAGTGAACGTCCATTAGTTTTATATGTTGGTGGGTGTTGAAATGAACTTATGTACATATATGGAAGGTTTGTGTGTTAAAAACAGACACACCCTCCACAGAGCCCCTCCAGCTGGTAATCTGAGAATGTTTAACATGAAAGCTTCCTTGTGTGCATATATCACAGTCCACTGGAGGGACTGAGCCTCTTTCATCGACTGTGACTGTGGACCGAAACCAGAGTAAAATAAAACTACTGTTCAGAGATGTCTCACTGATGTTTGACGTCACAACAGGCCACAAAAATCTGCTGCAGTGCTACCATCTTGGCCTAGGAAGTAATATTTGTGTCATTTTAGTTGCGATATGTGTAATTTGTATGCATGTGTGTGTATTTTTTTGTGTTTAGACCCTGGTGTATGAAGTGGGTTTTCTGGTGTGTATAGCCATCGGCGCCTTGTACATCGTTCTGATGCCCATAGTTGGGTTCTTCCTGGCCTGCTGTCGCTGCTGTGGCAACTGTGGTGGGAAGATGTACCAGAAGCAGACATCCGCCATTCACTGTCGCAGAAGAACTCTTTACTGGAGTGCATTCGTCACCACCATCATTATCCTGTGAGTGTGTGTGCGCGCGCTCTTGTGTTCTTGTTTTTGAACAGCGTAATGATGGCGTGTTATCTGAAATTAGCACTGAAAGGCGACAGCTTGAATGTGAATGGCTCACTGCCCATGTGCGTCTCACTCAGATCGACATTCAGTTCATGGCACACATTTAATTGTGTCTGTATATATGTGTCTATATAATAGAAAGTGTCTATACATATATGTGTGTGTGTGTGTGTATGAATGTTGTTGTTCTTTTTTTAGTGCTGGGAACATCTGCATGTTCAGAAGTAACGAGGCCCTCAAAGTGAGCGTGGACCAAAGCCCAGTGGAGCTCAGCAACGCGATATCCAACATCAACACCTTCCTCACAATTGTGCCTCAGGCAAGAGAAAACTTCTTGTTGATTGAAGCATGGAAACATACAAAGGTCAAAGGTCGTTGACCTCATTGTGGCAGCATTGTCTCTAATTGCAGCTTTGATGTTAAAACCGTAAATATTCTCATTAATGTTTAGCATCAGTCACATTAAGTCCTGCACTCCTGCCATCAATCTGCTGTGAGTGGACAGCTTTTGTGTGAGATGCAAACAGACTCCGAATTCTCCAGTCAGTCCAGTCTGATTAAAGAGCAGCCCTGTATTCTGCTGTGTCAATATACTTATCTCAAGATACAAGAGAGTGGGAAAAGGTTGCCGGTAAAGACAAGAGTGTCCTCTGTTTGTTGTTCTTCATTTGCCAGAGCTGCAATGTACGATTAGCTCATGTAATCAGTCTCGCTGCATGTTGGATCTCATATCTTATGTACACACTTTGAAATAGTTTGTTTTTCCTCAACCTTCATTCAGCAAGTTGACAGTGTGGTGAATGAGAGCTACAGGACTGTAGACGAGGTCACAGAAAACCTCCAAGGTAAGAACAGGGAAGTAATTATGCAAAACATAGGCGCCACTTTAGTTCAACCCGACCACTCCCATTTAATTCTCTCGCACTGATTCTTCTGTAGCCATAGGACCTCTGTTGGGAAAAGAGATCCAAGGGCGATTCAGAGGAACCCTGGACCCAGCGCTGCAGTCGGTTAAACTTCTGGACCATGGTATGGTAACCTGCATGCTGCGTCATGCTCCAGAGTGAACATGTAAATGCTTGTGTACATATTTGACAAGATCACTAATCTTGTAGGCGACTCCTGCTCCTGCGGGCGCTGCGCAGTTTCCCTGTGTAGCTTCTTAGCCCTGACACTGGGAAGTCTTGAGTTAAGTCGTTAATAGTCTAAAAGGTTTTGTTGGGATCAGCTGTTTTCACAAGTTATTACATAACAAAAAAGGAGAGGAGGGACATACAGACACACACAAGTAGAAACATAATTCATCTGACCTCATGAATGATTTTGATTCATACAGACTTGTTACACCTAAATATGATTACCTTTAGTTTCAAATTGATGTTGCTCTTACATAAATGTTAGATACCACATAAAGAAATATTTTCTAAGCGCGGTTTGATGATCGTCAATTCATGTGGAATACATGAGCCTATGATAAAAGTTATGACTTTTATATAACTTTATAGTCATTTTATTATTATATTGTTTTTTTTTTATTATCACTACATATTGAAATTCCTTACATAACAATGTCAAAATCTTACATAAATGTTAGATACCACATAAAGAAATATTTTCTAAGCGCGGTTTGATGATCGTCAATTCATGTGGAATACATGAGCCTATGATAAAGGTTATGACTTTTATATAACTTTATAGTCATTTTATTATTATATTGTTATATTATTATCATCACATATTAAAATTCCTTACACAACAATGTCGAAATCACCTGAGACGATCAGTCTGAAGCAGCAGGAAATTCAGCAGGGAAGGCTTCCTCTCTTGAAAGTCCTAACGTTGCACTTTTACATATTACAAAAAAGTAATTTATTTGTTCAGACAAACACCTCCATAAAACTGCCACGTAAACAATAAAGAAAAATGTGTGTGTGTATATATATACATATATATAAAACAGCACAGAGGCTAATTTTGTACAGTCAAAATATTCCATCAACAAACCCTAACACCACCTTCTTTTGCTTTCCGCCCATTCATACCTTGTAGGGCATATTACCCCGGTTCACCTGATCTGCCAGTACTTGGGGTTACAAAGCCTCCAAATTTGTAAAGCATTATAATCTGTCACATAGGCTTCCTGAGACAGTTTTTCTATAACAGTTCCATAATCTGGTAATTGTTGGGACAGCCCCCATCTTCATAGACAGCATCTATATCAAAACACTTTAGATAAAACTGAGCCTGTACACATTCCTGTGTTTAGGGAACTATTTTGTCAGATTCTGTCTACAAAAAAACCCCAAAACATCCAGGATCTTATCACTGAAATCCTTGAGACAAAATTAACGCACAGTAAATACATTCAAACAAATGTACTTCAGTCTAAGTAGAATAAACCGCCAGCCCAGAGTATTCTTAGTTTTTGAGTTATGCTCCCATGCAAAGGTTAAGTGTGAACGACCTCAAGTGTTTTGTAATTCCATGTGGAGGCTTCCAGTATTGCTTTTTGCTGGACTGCAGTAGTTTCCAATATGACAAATTAAGTGCTGACACACCATTTACTAAGATTTCTTAACACAGCCTATCCGCTCTAAGAGTAATACAGAGCAGGCTTAGCAGAGAAATATGGAAAATATTTGTGAGGCTTTGCTGACAGCATCTGGGTAGTGTCTCCTGAAACAAACTATCCTGTCGTTCATTGTCGCTTAGCTTTTGAGTTCAAAGCAACAAAGCATTTATGGTATTAAAAAGGTAATAAATGGATGAAGTCAAGTGAGTGTTAGTTTTTTTTACTAATATGTGTGTGTTCTCCATCTGAATGAGCAGAGACTGTAAACACCAGCGTTCAACTCAACAACCTGAACTCATCCCTGGACCAGCTGCAGTCCAGCATGGACCTCATCCAGGCTAATGTCACAGCTGTGAGAAATCACATCGATCAGACTTTATCCAAGCCAGAGTGTATTCAGTGTGACAAACTGAGGCCGGAGTTGCAGAAACTGACAGTGGACACCACCGTTTCTGTAAGTAGTAAATTGTAAAACACAATACAAAAGATGAATTACTCTGATAAATTGGTTCTCAAACGGCTGAATGACGAAAACACCCAGGTGGGTCAGAACATCCACTCTTGCCATTTGAAGTGTACTGAGCAAAAGAGGGGGCAGGTTTGACTGTTCAGCGCTATGAATCAGACGTTTTTACGAAGAAACAGGAAGAATGATTTATGTAATCAAACTACGTCTGACGCAGGCTGGGGCAGTGTGACACATGATAATAGCTCTTCATTTTTGGCTTTGTCTGAACAGCTGATTTGTCCTCCTCCCATCTGCTCCTCTCTGCTCCTCCTACGCTTCTCCAACTCTGACACATTCAGAGTCTCCTCTCCTCTGCTCTCCACCTCCTTTCCTTTCATCTCCTCCCTTTCTTCTTCCCTCCTCTGGTCTCCTCTCCTTCCTTTTCATCTCCTCTCTTCATCAGTTTTTAAGGGAATGTACCGTATAATTTATACTCTCCATCATGGCGGCAAGAAAGCCGCACTGACTAAAGCATTCATTATTATTCTTTGAATTCTCCTCATTCAACTTGGTGGCTGTTTGACAACATCAGAGAAAACTTACAGTTGTTTGTTTTGCTGCAGTTTGCTGCCCCCTACTGACGGTTTGAGGCCTGTGATCACTTAACAGCCGCTGTGTGTCGGATTCTTCTCCACAGATTCCCAGTTTGAATGAGTTTCAGTCTGCAGTGGATGAAGTCATCAAAGCTGATCTCCAATCCCAAATCGATGAGGTCAGTGACTTCTGCCAAATGAAAACATAATTACAAAATCATCAGTCTTTCTCATATAATGCCAGTCTTGTTAACATATCAATAAGTAGACAGATAAGGTAGGCTGGTTAAGCGAAAAAGATAATGTAATTAAATGTGGAGAATGGATTGCAGCAGATTTTTGCTTCACTGAGGCTGTGTTGTTTAGCTTCAATGTAAGTAAAAATAGATCAATCTCTGGCTGGCAGCAACAAAGCTACTTTGTCATAGAAAGGATAACAGAAAGACGGAGGCAGTATTGAATTTTTGTAATGTGAAAAAAAAAAACAGTGGTACATTTAAAAACTTTTTTTCATGATATCTCAGGTGGAGGACTATTTCCAAAGCATCCCCCAAAGGGTAACCAATGAAACCAAGGATGTCGTTCAAAGTGAGTAAACGATACCTTTGTCGTCACAGTTTGCAAGTCAAGTCTGTAAATGGATTTTTAAAAGATGTGCATACATAGACTTAGGGGTCAACTTCGACCCACTTTGACATTTGACAGCAGTAAAAACACCCTAAACATCATTCTTCTAGCCTTACATTTGATGGCTTTTCCTAAAGTGACCCAAAATACAAGAAAATATACTTAAGTATACTTTGGTACAGGTGATAAAAATTTTTGTACATTGAGGCTGTTTTGGGTTAAATTTTACCATTGAGGTGGATTTTAGATCTACCAGTCTGGGTAAAATCAAGGGAAATGGTGGTTTTAGGGAATCTTGAAACTGTACAGGCCATGTTTTATGTGTATTTTTTATTTACATTCAATAATGTGATTTAGACATTCTAAATAGATCTTTAGTTCAAATTTTGGTATATACACTTACTATGAGGGAATTCTTGACAGCACGGTGAAAATTGAGGGTTATATGTTTACCTGTGTGTGTTTTAGGAAGCAAGCAGCTGCTGGATGACATAAAAACACAGATCTCCCAGGTTACCAGCGACATCCCTTTGTCTGGTCTGACAGATGTGAAGGAGAATCTAAACCAGCTGCAGTCGGATATCAACGGAGCCATGCCACATGTTGAAAAAGCCGAGGACATCAGGTAAAAAGCCCGAAAAGTACGAATAATCAGTGGAAGAAAAAAAAACTAAATCACAAATCACTGATTGTGCGTTCATCCTTCTCCAGGTGGGCCGTAGGTGTGGCTCTGTGCTGTTTGATTCTCCTGGTGGTCGTATGCAACCTTCTGGGTCTCATCCTGGGCCCTATGGGTCTGTCGCCCAAAGCAGACCCCACGAAGCGCTCCTGTACGGCGGACTGTGGAGGCACCTTCCTCATGATGTGAGTGCTGCAATCTTATGCTGGTTTTTATTTCCAGAAGGGAAACTGTCTAAATCGTTTTACCTGGATGTGGTTGCAGGGGTGCAGGTATCAGCTTCCTCTTCTCCTGGCTGTTAATGATCGTGGTGCTGGTGCTGTTCTTTGTGGGTGGAAACAGTTACACTCTTATCTGTCAGTCCTGGAGCGACGGACAACTGCTAAAGGTAGTGATGCACAGTCGAGTTCAGGTGTATGCATTGACAGGGCGTACAGAGATGTTACAGATGTTGTGTTTTCTCTGTCCACAGTTTCTTGACACTCCAGGCTTATATCCAGGGTTGGAATTAGGTCCAACGTTGGGACTGAAAACTGACATCAACATCTCTGACGTCTACAAGTATGTATTACTAGCTTACCTCTCATACAAGAACAAATGCATGTATACACATACTACATATAGTTTTGTTTCTCTTGCTCTTTCATGACATCCATTACCTCTTGACTCCAAAAATTTGTTTTTTGCACATTTTTTCCCCTAATGAGATATAGAAATCAATTTAAATCTATATCTGTGATCAGGAGCTGTACAGAAATGTTAGATTCAGTTATATTTGATGGGATTTTTTAAAAATTTTTTTAACAGAGACTGTGAAGAAAACCAGCCTCTGTGGACAACACTCCACTTGTATGAGGTTGTAAACCTTGAAGAACTGCTCAACGTATCTAAAGTGAGTGCACATGCCTCCCTTTAAACTGTTTGAAATAAAGCAAATCCAAACCAACAGAAACTTAAAGTGAATTTAGCAGAAATAGTTTTCTCACCTAATAAAAAAAAAAGATCATATACAGTGCTTAACAAATGTATTAGACCACTTGTCTGACGAGGAATTTGAGCCACTGGGCTTCTCTGAGAAGTCACTAAAACATTTCTTTCTGTTTAGGATTGCCAGTAAATAACTATAATTTGACATCTTAATCAAGAAACAATAATGTGCTTTACTATACTTTCTGGGATTTTTTTATTTTGTAAAACAGTAAATTGGAAGATCCATATATAACAATAACAACTATATTTTATCATTAAAAATGTTGTTTCAGTTAAAGAGCTTCTAATACTGGTGTATTAACCATTACAGACACATAAAAAATGATTTGGTAATTACCAATGCTGTTAATTTGGAGCAGCTGTGGTCTAAACCTTACACTGGGTGGTGGTCTAATAAATTTTTTTGTCTCAAACAGTACACGGAGCAGATCCACCAACAGTTTGAAAATACCAATATCACTTTGTCGTCAATCACTCTTCTGAGTGCTGAGGTTAAAAACAAACTCAGCAGCTTCTCTACAAAGGCCGAAGATTTCGACACCACCGCTGTCACACAGCAGGTAGGCCTCATTCTTCTGTGACTATACGCATCAGTAAGTAACACGTATTTGCAATCCGGTGATCTTTGCTCCTCTCTTTTAGATGAACAACATTTCCAGCATCAATCTGAACTCAACAGCAGACAAGCTCGATATGCTTGCTGCTGATCAAGTGAGTCACGAGACTTGAAGATAACACACAAAGTCCCTTGTTAATGTTTTACTCTGCAGCTGATCACCGCAACGTTGTTTGTGTTTTGGCCTTTTACTAGACAAACGCTGAAATTCAAACAGGTCTCCAGAATGATGCCAGAGTTCTGAGGCAGATCCAAGCTGACATAGAAACAACCATCATCCCACAACTGGTGAGTGCTTGTCCCATCTTTCTTGCCATCTCTCCTTATCTTCCATATTTTTCATTTTTCCCATGCTGACATTCCATCCAAATTTAAAAAGACACATTTACTGCTTTTACTCTCAGGAAAACCTGAATTCAACCATCAAGATTCTTCAATCCACTGCAGAAAAAATCAATGTGAGTGCACTGACTGACACCTGGAATTGCCTGGAACAGAGATCATTCTCCTTATTCTCTTTTTTTTTTGTTTTTCTGTGGCTCATTCTTTCCTCTCTGCCTCTTCCAGGGAACAGTGGGGGAGGTGTTGAGCAAAGTGGGAGCAGCACAAGACTTCCTCAACACAAATACGACACAGATCGTCAAGACCGTGAGTAGAGCCATGAGTCACATGAGTTTGAAGAAAAAGTCCATGTGGGCTGTTAATGCCTGAGGTGGGTCAGTCATTTAGTCAGTGGGGGCGAGAGGGAGGTGTCACGGATCTGCTGCTTATAGTGAAAACAACGTTCCTGTTGGTTCCACGTCCGCAGGGCATGGGTTGCATTTGGTGTCCGATTTTGTTTTTGTACCACAGGGTGGATTTTATATCTAAAGTCTAGCTTTATTTTAAAGTAGTGTCATAGAGGAGGATGTAAAAGAAAATGAAAAAAGAAAAACATGCAGAGTGCTGCAACCAAGTGGAACAAACAAACTTGTCCTGCATTTAAACACCTTTAAATCACTGCCTTTAACAACAACTTTAATTACCTACCTTGCACTTACACCTTGACATTGTTAACGTCATCATCAGTCACCTTCAAATTACAGGATAAGGCTGATGTTGCTGTGTATTTTTGGGAACTGGTAATATTTTAGCGTTACATCCACTTAGCTACAAGCTCCCATTCATTACTAATGACAACAAAAATCAACAACAAGATGCAACTTCCTCAGACAGCATGTTCAATAATGCTTTTGTTGTGAGCTATTTTTATTTTTTATAGATACATATTTGCTGCTCGAGGTTATGATCACTGAGTGACTTAATGCCTATATTCTTTGTAACAAAAGAACGTGTCACCAAGTTGTAGAAGGTTTGGATGCAAAGTCAACACAATGACTAAATGATAACATAGAAAAACACAGATGAATATGTTTGTTTGTTGTAATGCATTAGGTAAAGCACTTTGAATAGACATACACTTTTTTTTTTGCCTTGTCGAATCATAATGTCACTGCAGTTATGTATGGGTCACTTCAGTGGATTTAACCAGAATTCCAAGATGGTTAGGCGTTCCATTGATTCCTCATGACTTCCCACTGTAAAGCACTAAGAAAATGTGAGGAATTTATTTTCTTTTTTTTCCCCCCTCTCTCTCTCTTTCTCAATCCCAGGAGAGCAGACAGTTTTTAGACTGTCAGCTGGAGTACTTCATTACTTATGCTGACTGGGCCAACCTCACGGTAAAGTCTGTTCTAATATTTGTTCCAATAAATGCCCCGTATTTGTGCACACAGGAGTTCAGCTTTCTTTTGCACTGTTACTGATCTGTGTCTTCCTCCTCAGATCACACAGGAGGTGGGCCGTTGTGAGCCGGTGGCGAGAGCTGTGGACTCTGCTGAGACCATTCTCTGCGCATACATGGTGGAGTCCCTGGTGAGGATCAGCGTTTCTAAGTTCAACATACAATTCTAGCTGTTTGATTTCTTTTCCCCAAATACGTCTGGAAAGTCGTGACTAGATTGGGAAATTTTCGAAATTTACTTGTCAAGTTGTTTTCCTTTTTAGGACATTCATTTTGTTTATATTTTTATCACTTCTGCCCCATATTTACAAAATATGTCACGATTCATTATCAATCGTCTTCCACCTCTTTAGAATGAACTCTGGTTTACTCTGGCCTGCTTTATCATGTTTGTTATCTACAGCATCTTTTTTGACGAACACAATAAAGTCTGTAGAGTAGTGACTAGTTAGATAAATAAGCACATTTTGTTTTGCTCTAAATTGTGGTTCTATGTAGTTTGTTCATTTTGTTTATATTTGTATGAGTTCTGCATTGTATTCATGCGATATGATACAATACAGTAAGATACAATATGATACAATACAATACGATATGCTACGCTACAATATGACGCGATACATTAAGATACAACACAATGCAACACGAAATGCTACGATACAGTAAGATACAATACGATTCGATTAATACTGGTATGATCTGCTATGATACGATACAATACAGAGGAATAAGATATGATGCGATAAGCTACGCTATGATATAAAATGCTACAATACAGTAAGATACGATACAATCCGATACGACACGATACAATACAGTAAGATACAATATAACAAGATACGATACGCCATGGTATGATATGCTACAATACTATATGCAACGATACGATACAGTGCGATACAATACAGTAAGATACGATATGCTACAATACGATACAGTTGGATACAATAGAATAAGATACAATGCAATATGATACAATAAGATAGGATACGCTGTGATACTATATGCTATGATACGATACAGTAAGATACGATACGCTATGATACGATACGCTATGAAACGATATGCTATGATATGATACAGTAGGATACGATGTAATGCAAAACGCTACGGTACAGTAAGATACGATATGCTACGTTACTGTACGCTACAGTATGATACAATACAGTAAAAAAACGATACGATATGCTATACTACGCTACTATACGATGCGCTACAATACTGTAATATATGATACGATGCGATACAGTATGAAACAAATTGCCTTACTTTTTAGGCCATTCATTTCATTTTTATTTGTATGAGTTCTGCATTATATTCTTATGGTAATACAACACAGTACGATATCACAAGATGCAGTACGACAACATACAATTCATGTCCTTATATGGAAATTTGCCTCAGTCTCATGTGTTGCACACGTACGGAGCAACTCATCTATCTTTCTTCTCCCCAGAATGCATTCTGGTTCAGTCTGGGTTGGTGCATGATATTCTTCATCCCCAGCATCATCTTTTCCATCAAACTAGCCAAATACTACAGGAGAATGAAGGACTCTGATGTCTTTGAGTAAGTAGCACAAAGCAATGACAACTATAAACATGCATCAGCTAGAGCTATTTATACCCGCATGCCCATGTGTGCACGTGCATGACTTACATGACTGGTTCATCTGACCGTGGTGGCCTGCTCCTGACCGCTGTTAATGTCTCTGTTTCCAGAAACCACATAATCATGAACCACATCCCACGGGCCCAGATGAAATTCACCTGAGAGGATGGCACATGTGCGGTACAACTTTAATAGATTGCAGGCGCAAATGTTGCTGCGCTCGACAAAATAAAAACACATGGCGCACTCCTACACAGATGTGGCACGATGCCACTCTAGCAAAAAACCTCTGACTGAAGAAAAAGAAAAAAAACAAAAAAACAAAAGTTGGGATACATACTTGAGCCTTTTTTAAATTCAAATTTTCACCATTAGGTGGAGAAACAAAGCCATTTAATAAAGCGACTGCGGTGGTCACACAATATATTTCATACGCCACATACAGCATCTTTAAATTGACCTCAGGGGAACACAGGGCTTAAGGGAACCTGCAGGGATTTTTTTTCCACTATTTGAGATGAACATTTTAAAGAGTTTTATGTCCTAAATGTTTTATGTGCATTTCATGTGTGAACTGAGCTGCTGCAGAATTGTCCTTATTTCAAACTGTAAATGTGACGTCTTTTAGAGAGTCCATCACGTTTACACATTTGTATACATTTGTATAAATGTTGGTGTGCAGCTCTCTCAGAGAATGTGACTCTGTCTATGCATCACTGTGGTTCAACAACATATTTTCAATATCAAACACTTTCTTAAATAAATTTCTAATTACACTTGCACTAACAGTGAAGACAAAAGCACAATTTCCTGTATGAATGATTAAACAAATACACTTATTTGTCCAACAAAGATGTAACTTTTGTCACCGTAACACTGCTGTTTGCTGACTATACGATGCCACTATTCGTTTTTAAAAATGTTTTTTTCATTATGTTTGCAGATTTCATTGATTTTTACTGCTGTGATTCATAATTTGATAAAGATGAATTTGTACTTTATTTGTACTCAGCAGTTGACTGAGTTTTATCCTTTGTTATACAGCACTTTATTTGGTCTGTTTGCTCAATGTGATTGAAAAGTTGTAAACATTTCTACCAGCTGTTGTGAAAATTACTGTGAGTAAAACATTGCCACTGATCAACGAGCTGTTCTTTACCCATTGATTGTCACATAAGTGGAATCTCTGAGATTGGTCAGTGTCTTATTTCTGTACATAAGCGTGACAGCGTTTTGCACAGTGTCCATTTGTAGCAACGTTTTTTTGCACGGTACATGAAATCCTTATTATACTGCTACACGTGGTCAGAAACTACTTTTAATAGAATTAGAATCAGAATCAGTTTGATTGCCAAGTGGGTTTTCACATACATGGAATTTGATGTGGTGTTTTGGTATATTAAACACTAACAAGTAGAAAATCTTTAAAGAAGTATAAAACAATTTTTAAAAAAGCAAGTGGTGCAGGTCAACAGACAGTAAATGTTAATAAAAAATGAAAAGCAAGTGCAGCAAATCCTTGGGTTAATAAGTAATAAAAAGTCATAGAAATATTCAAAGTGTGCAAGAATGTGCAAATTACGCACCTGACAATGTGCAAAAT